GTAAAAATGAGATATGTATTACATATTATTATTAATACTCAGAAATTTGTTTTATGTTGTTTTAACCAATTCTTGAATTGGATTGGCAGAAGCAGATAATTAAAGATAAATTGTTAGCCACAGACTCGAGACTCGATAATTATAAATTTATCCAAGTCCCGACTCCGATTACCTCTCATTATTTCTATTTATTACACTTTTCCTTTCCCATCACCTACATATCTTCCCATTATAACTACAATTCGTACATTTATTGTTATTAATTTCCTTTTCCCATCACTTATCCTTACCAAACGTTCGCAAAATATGTAAACATCTTCATTAAACAATTCCTTTCCCAACATTATCTTAGTCACTGTTCCCAAACTTTCCCAGAACATTCACTTTATTTATTTATTTATTTATTCAAAAATTAAAAATATACAACGAAAGGGAATCCACTAACATCGTTGTCGGATAAATTTAAATAAAGTTTAAGTCAAAAAAAAAAAAGTCATAAATGGGAGGTCAAAGGATATGCATAAAAACAAAAAATAAATTGTAAATAATAAAAAATAAATAAAAAACATATTGTGATAGGTCTTTCCAACTGTAAAATAATAGAAAAAAATTGGTATGTGTTTAATAGTAAAAAATAATAATAATTTGTAAAAGTAATAATTTTTTTCTAATTATTTGACAGTTAGAATTTAGTATAAAAAAATTAACTATATTGAGTATTGGGGAAGCCACACATGTATAGATAGTGTAGTAAGCATAAAATTTAATTTAAGTTATTAGATTTTTATGTAGAAATTTTTTATGTAAATGTTTTTTTTGGGGAAATTACCATATTTTTTATTTTTATAGTATATTTTTTTTATATTTCGTTTATAAATAGCTGAGTAATTCTGTGTTTAAAGGATAATATTGAGTGGGAGTTTAATGTAACTTTATCTAGAGTATTCCATAGTGAAGAGCTTCTATTAACAAAGGAATGAGCGTTTTTTGAGGATCTGCATTTAAACATAAGTCTATTAAATTGTTTATGAGATGGATGTGTAGAAAATCGGTATAGGTGAGTAGGATCTAAATGGGTAAAACCTTTAATAATTTTAAATGCAGTTACGAGGTCATAAATTTTTCTGCGAGTATTAAGAGATTGCAATCCAAAAAGTTGAAGTCTTTCAGGATAAGGAATTTTAGGTAACATACATTTTTTGAGAGCAATAGATGTAAAGAATTTTTGGCATTTTTCAATTTGTATTATATCTTTTTTGAAATGAGGGTTCCAAATTTCAGGTGCATATTCAAGTATGGGTCTAATATAAGATTTATAGACTAATGTCCAAGTTCTAATGCTCCTAGATCTGATAGTTTTAAATAGAATTTTCATACGATAATAAGCATTTCGAACAATAGTGCTGCATTCGCTTAATCAAATAAACAATTTGCATTTTCACATGCAATATAAAGTGACCTTTTTCTAAATAAAAGGCCTCCCGACGTTATCATCCAATTCTCGTTCCTTATCTTATTTTTGTTATTCACTTTCCATTTATATTTTGACCCTTAAGTTGTCTCTATAAATACCCCAGCCTTTTCCTCATTAGAAGAAGACTTGGCCCAACCATTTCTCTCCCTTGTTATTGTATCCCATATTTATATGGAGAATAAATTAAATTAGATAGAATAAATATTTAAATAATGTAATTCAGTCTAATACAAGTCCCCAGAATAGTAGAACCCGAGAAAAAGCTATAATACAAATATAGCAATTGGTGCCACATGTCCCGGGCTATTCTGAGAGGACTAAAGATAAAAATACCGGGCATTGACCCGAAGAAAGAAAATATTCGTGAAATTGAATAAATTAAAATACCGGTTATAAACCGAGATAGCTAAGAAATTTGAAATTAATAAAGCATCCACAAATAAAATAATGGCATAGCTGATGTGAGAAAAATTGAAAAATTCTAGAAAATGGAAATTTTGAAATTGTAGGATTTAGAAAAACGTCTTGAAGATGTAATGATCTGAAAAGTTAGCACTGAAGATAGAAGCGGAAAAGAACTTTCTGTGGTAAATAATTAAATAGCCGAAGCTTTGTGCGGGCTAGGTGCCTGGCTATAATGCATAAGACGCGGGGTGCGCAGCAAATAAAACCGAGAATGGATCTAAACCTAATCTTTAAACAGTGATAGCTGTGGAAGACAAGCAAAAACAAGACGATTTTTTTTATTGAAGGGAAGGAAAAAGTGTTTAAGAATTTTTCATAAAAAGCAAAAAATAAGAAATTTTGAAGATTGATCATAAAATCTTTTGCCCGTTTTTTCAACGGAGAAACTCACGCTCGTCGCAAAGAGAACAGTAACAAGGAAATTATTTGCAACTTCTATGCCTCAACAATTCAATGATAAGGGACAACAATAAAACGACTGATCTACTCTGGATGCAAAAATGGCACATGGCACTCAAAGAATCAAATGGACAACACTGGAAAGAATGATGCTCCAATCTCAACTAGGCTGTAACAAACACTCCATAAGTTCTTGTCACCATAATTTTTTAAAAATTTTTGTAAACCAATTTTGTTTTTTAATCCCCTTGTGTAATTTTTCTTTACCCTCCCAAAATTATGTAATCTGCCCCATTCAGTAATCTCTCTAAAATTTACTAAAGTCGGAGAATATGGAGTTGAATCGCTAATGCAGAAGATCTTTAATGACAAGAAAAAGATTTTAAACCCAAATGGAGATTGTTAAGCGAAGGCATTAGAATATAAAAAATAATTATTGAAAATACCGTTATGAGAAATAAAAGACGAGAATGAAAAAAAATTATATATATAAAATATTTAAAAGTTAAAGTGCCACCCGTTAAATCGGAGAAAATTTAGTTTAAAAAAGCAGCCTAAACAAATCTCCCAAAATATCAGAACGTGGACGTTCTTTTCGAAGAGGGAAGGAATGCTGCATTCGCTTAATCAAATAAACAATTTGCATTTTCACATGCAATATAAAGTGACCTTTTTCTAAATAAAAGGCCTCCCGACGTTATCATCCAATTCTCGTTCCTTATCTTATTTTTGTTATTCACTTTCCATTTATATTTTGACCCTTAAGTTGTCTCTATAAATACCCCAGCCTTTTCCTCATTAGAAGAAGACTTGGCCCAACCATTTCTCTCCCTTGTTATTGTATCCCATATTTATATGGAGAATAAATTAAATTAGATAGAATAAATATTTAAATAATGTAATTCAGTCTAATACAAGTCCCCAGAATAGTAGAACCCGAGTTAAGCTATATAAAACCCAAATATAGCAAATAGTGTCAAAATGTTTTTGAAAGGATAATTTATTATCAATTATAATTCCTAAATCTCTTATAGAATCTAAACCCATAATAATATTATCTCCAATTTTATATTTGTGCATTTGGTTATTTTTACCAAGATAGAGAACATAAGATTTATCTGAGGAAATGTTAATACCCCATTGATTGCACCAAAGTTCAATATTAGTGATCGTTTCAGTTAGTATATTACATTGGTTTAATGAATCATGAATTAAATATATCTTAATATCATCAGCAAATAATTTAACAGATATGCCTTTTGGAATAATATCTGGAAGATCGTTTATATAAATGATAAATAATAACGGTCCAAGGACAGAGCCTTGTGGTACACCCAAAGGTGCACTGTAATAAGATGAAAAACTATCATTAATTTTTACACTTTGTAAATTATATTTCCTCCCTCCCACTTTCCCCACTATTTAACCAAAAGGATGAACAACAAATGATTAAGTTCAAATGTGTTTCTCCAATGATTCCTCAATTTACTCTCCCTATTACTCCATATTTGCATTGAACCAATAACTCATTTACTTTATATATTTTAAATATTTAATAAATGTTTTACTTTATTATAGTTTGTTTAGTCAATAGGTCCTCTGCGCCTCTCCAACTAATCCTCATACCCACAACCGACGCTCTGAAGGTGCGTTAGACAGAAAGGTCTGAGCCGCATAATTATATTTAATACAAATAAAATTAAAAATAAAAGTTTCAATTTATCCAACTCCAAAAAGAATACAATTCATAAAAGATAAATAATGTGGATCTCAACGGTCAACAATGTTGAGTCCTTGTGGTGGAAATTTAGAGAATAAAAAAGAAATTTAGAGAATAAAAGAGAATTAGAAATGAAGAATAGTTATCCCAATTCTTCATTTCTAAGTATTTCGAAACTGAACGATCAAAAAATCGAAGTTTTTGGTTTGATCTTTTTTTGGTTCGTTCCGGATCAAGGACTAGTTTAAATCGTGTGTGAGCGCATTGCGTTATTTTCGTTTAATTCAGGCCTTCGGTTGCGTTTACGCAAATGCAAAAAATTTATTCACGCAAAAACTCAAAAAATATACTCAATCTGAGGATAAAATTGGTAGAAATCTGGCTTCTTGGCCTTCCAAAATTATCAAAAATTTTCGTCTGTTTAGCTAAAAATAGAAGCCATAAATGTCTAAAATCTCGTAAATGTTTAATTTAAAATTGAATTTTTAAAGTTTTCTATTCCCTAATCTAAAAAGCCCAATCAAACCCAAAAAGTAAAAAGTTCACGACTTCAACTCACTACTTTTTCTCAAATCAATCCTCACTTTCTTCTTCAATTTTCAAGATCCATTCGGACTCCATCTTGTATCTTGACATATTCCTGTGCTTTCTCGAGTACTCGTCTTCGAACTTTTCTCAAAGCGGCGCCTAACATTGCTTCCAAATTTAACTCTTCATTGCGTTGATTATACCATTTAATGGCATTAACAGCATTCTCAACTCCCAATCGGCCTAAAATTAAAAATAATTGATAAACTTGTACTAAATCAACTGAAGAACAAATTTGCGTTGAATTTTGGTAATGTAAATAATCTGAATCGAAGAATGTTAGTCTACAAGTTTTTTCGGAATATATATATAAGGGTAATTTTGTATATTTTAACATTACTTCAGTGCAAATTAAAAATTTATAGTCACTCGTTATTGCTTAAGAGCAATCCTTATTTTTCTTTGAAACTTGCCTGTACTAATCCCGCTAGCAGTCATAAAATGAGCGCTTGTATTTGCATCACCTATAGCTGCAATAATTGCTGAATCTTGAGTTCCATGAAGTTCTCTCACAGGATTTTCAATTCCATAAATTGCCACATAAAAAGTGCTTGTATTGGCACTGTGAGGGTCAAAATGAAGAACTTGTTCTGGTTCATGTGCTTTTCCTTTGCCTCTAGAACTTGTACTTGAACTTCCAACGTGTTCTTCTTTAATAACTACTTCTCCAAGTCTCTCCGGATGTCTAGTAGAAAATGTATAACTAAAAAGAGCTTTGGCCCATCGTTTTTGCAATCCTTCGTGAAATTTATCATAGTATTCCTTCAAATCCTCATTATTTCCTTTTTCACTTTGTAAATCATTAATAAATTCTACAAGTGCTCTAGGTGTTATAGATGCAATATGCAATGTTGGATTTGATTCAAATAGACGAACAACGATATATTCATCTTGTAATATCATTTTTGTTAAATTCTTATACTTTGATTTAAGTTGATCAGAAAGAAAATCAGCTTGCCGAATCAATTCATTAAAATCCTGTTTCACAAGATGCTTCCTCATACCAGCCATATGATCACGGTAGAAAACAGCAGAATCTTCGAAGACTTTAATATTAGGATTCTCCTTATCAAAGATGACGACACCATAATTTTTTGATTCCGTTAATTGTTGTGGGGGCTCTGTAAATATGGTAGTTTACAGACAAATATAAATGTTATGGATTATTTAACACTGCCTAAGCCTTCAAATGTCGACAGATAGATGTTCATCCTTACAATGTCTAAGTGCAATAAATATTTCTGCAAATGTGGACAGTAAGTAAAGTATCTAACTGAGATTAAGATAACTGAGTTACAATAGAGCTGAGAGTAAATCTAACTGAGATTAAGCTAACTGAGTTACACTAGAGAAGAAATATGTAGGTGTTCAGTGTATACTTATGAAGCTCCCTTACTTTAACGCGTTTAAAAAAATTATTTTTGTAATTCTAACCAATATACACTGTTCTTATATGATCTCGAGCACCACCAGCACAGAAAAACAAATCAAAAGGAATTCCAATGACATGATCTGATTCAACAGTTCCCTCATAATTCATTAACATTTTTCTCAATTGATTAAAATCAAAAGATTCAGGGCGTTTCTCAGGTGCACCGAGGATTGCCAATGGCTTTACATAATCTGTAAATATGTTCAAAACTGCTGTATTATAAATCAAATTCAAAAATGCTTTTTCTTGTTGGTTTTCTTGCTGTCTTTCTCGTCCATTTATATAACTTGACAGAACTTTTAACCGTTTCATCAAAACATTTTCCATATTTTTTATGCTAACAAACCCAATATCTTCATCAAGTATTCTTCCAAGCGATTTTTCTCCATTCTGTTTGTCAAAGAATAATTTATTAAACTCAGTACCCAAAAAGAAACGTAACTGTGACATCCATTTTCGGTCAAAAAAGACAACTCGATTTCGTATGTACTCTTCGGAGCGATCATTCACAAGCGTTACATTCACTCCTTCTAAAAATAATTCTTTAATAGATTGAACTTTGCCGGTTTATTGTTTGTAGAATTGGATAAAACCCCGTCCAAAATGACTTAAACTTAAAACTTATGGTAAACTGTCATGGTCTCGATCTTGTAAACTCAGCGACCAAATAAGAACCCAGTGATCGTTGATTTCGTATATCATTTTCAAAACGATCATTTACTAGCCAAAGTTTTTTCCTAAGCAAAACTTAACAATTGTCTTACCAATAAAAAGTTTGTAGGCAGCGTATAAACCAACGGGACCAGCCCCTTGCACAATTGCATTTTTATATTCTTTTCTCATTTTATTCTCCAAATGCTCTTGGTAAATTCTCTCATTTATAGCTTTATCTAATGCTTTACTTTGAAATTTAGAAAAATTTAAAATTTGTATAAGATGTCCAAGAGGTGGATGTTTTTCCATAAAAGAGAATATATCAATCAAAGAGCCTTCAGCCCCTTCCGAATGTAAATCTCTAATAAACACTTTACAGCGAATAATTAACTCGATTAGCACTTCACAATGGTTTTTTCTGTCTTGAGTGAATGTTTCTTGATGAGAACTGTGATGAGAAGTTGATGAAGAAGGTGTAAAACATTGACAGATTTTCGAAAGCAATTTTTTCCTTTTCCAAAGTATTTTCTTCCTTTCTTCAGGGCTATCTCTTAATGCTTCTTTGGTTTCAACTTGGATTCTATCATATTCCTTCAAATCATTTTCAGCAGTATCAGGATCACAGTCGTAGATGTTTTCATTATTTGAAGTAAATTCTTCAACCTTTTGTATAAGATTTGCAATAGCCATATCAAACACCCCATTAAATGCTCCAGTATTTCCTGTATTTTGAAGGTAAATCCATTCATTATACATAAGCACATCATTCGATTGAGTACTCCCTCGAGGCATTTCAGTGTTGTTATCTATCTCGGCAATGTTAACCAACTGATTGAAGCGCCAATTTTGGAAGCCTGTGACTATAAAAATTTTATAAATTAGTTAAAGGAATATTCTGAAAAAACAGAAACTTAATTTTTTGTTTGAAAAAATACCTATATTATGTTAACTATGTTTATTCGACATTTAAAATTTTGAAATCTTTTGCTAGTAATCACAAAGAATGGAATGGGTTTGCGAACACCCTCTCGACCTGAACTCCGATTCGAAGAAAAATTTGAAAACTCGATCCGAAGATCCCATCTCCACTTAGCCTTAAAATAGATATTTCACCTGCATTCAATTTGTATCGAGTCTGGGGGAATTCATCGCCTGGAAACAATGCATAAATAAGATTTTGTTGTATTGTTGCCATCAATCTATCCTCATTATAAGCAACATTTTTAACAAAAAATGAAGCCAGAAGCAAAGCAAGCCAAACAAGATTGAAAGGCAAAAGAAGCATTTTTGCTTTGCCTCTCATTTTTTTTAAATTCTCTCAAATGGAGAAGGATTTTTTAATTTTTAAAAGATTTTGGGGGAGAGTTTGTTTTTGAAGTTTTTTTAAATGAATGATTGAGTTTGGCTAGTATAAATTTGCTTATATTGGCATTAATGGAAATGGAGAGCTGAGGGCATGCGTTAGTATAGAGGAGTTGAGTTTTAGAGTGGCGAGACTAATTTATCTTACCCATCCCAAATTTTCGTCAATTAGTCAGGCAATTTACCAGAGAAAAAAAGGCAAAAAATTTTATAAAGGATAAAGAAATTTTTTTAAATTGCTGGATAATTTCCGGGCAAATAACTGCTAGATAATTTGCCCATGGATGAGAGGAAATGAGAAGGAGAGAAATTTTCGTGTCTTCACTGCTAATCAAGGGTGTGCCGACAGATATTTAAAAAAGAAATAAAAAGGCAAAAGAATCAGGGGATTGTACATGATATTAAAGGACTTGGAAGAAAATAATGTGAATTTGATCACATTTTTTGAATAATTTAAAATCGAAATTTTTTGGGTTACTTTAATTTTCGATCTCTGAAAATCTCGCTTTGTCTTTTGAAAGGTTTGTCGGTTCGGAACCAAAGCTTTTTCTTATTGATGCGCCACCATTAAGTTGATAAATTCGGGATTTAAGTAACTTGATTCAATAATTTTAACATATATTTTTGTTAAGAAATTCAAGCATCAAGCCTCCTTATTAGCATCTTATTAAATAATTCTAGACTTTTGGCTTAAATAAAAAAGAAAGCTGCCTTTGTAAAAATTTCGCTTTTCATCCAAAAAAAAGCAAATGACGAAACTGACACAACTCTATATTATACTTAAACTAAATTTCTTGTTAAACAACAAAGTTTCATGTAATATTTATTTTCGACTTGGATCGAAAATTGAAAATTTAAAAATCAATTAAGAAAAAGAAAATTACAACTAACAACTCGAACCAGGGTAACATTAGATATTTTTGAACCCGAACATAACCGAGCTTAACTATACCCATTTGTTATTTTTTAATTCCTAATTAATTCCTAAGTAGTTTGCTCATTTTTAGTTCATTAACTTTAGATGTTGATAAATAAAATTTTAAGAAATATAGTCAAAGGGCAATGTTGCGCAGACTTTTAAACAACTCAATGCACGTGAGAAGCAAAAGTCTTGAATAAAAGTCATAAGCTTCGATGTCTTGTGAATTTGCCAATGAATTATTTTGTCTTGTGTCTCAAAGATCTGTCCCTGTCTTCCTGTCCCTATCTTCATATCCAAGTCTTAATTTAATAATTAAATGGCTGATAAATCAATTAAAATAAATTAATTTGATTTTTGTTTAATTTTTAAACCTCTCAGGAGGGATGCTTTGAGAAAACGCTGTAGAAAACGCTGTTAAATGTTTGTTTAATTTGCTGTTTTGTTTAATTTGCGCTGAAATGGGTGTTGAAGAGGCTTTTTTGTTTAAGTTGGGGCTAGAGTTTAAACTCCTTCGCTAAAACAATATTGATGTAAAAATTTCAAATAAAATCAATGACTGAAACATTGAAAAATAAAAAATATATAGTTGCGCTTATAATTTCTTAACACACCATAAGGGCATTTAGCTGAATAAGGTGGCTAAAGTGATGTGATAATGAAATTAAGTGATAAAAGAAGAAAATTACGAACAATAACTCGAACAGGAAAACATTATGGTGTGTAGCGGTGTTAGGATAGTAAAAACCAGTGTAAGCTCAGTCTTGTTGGATCATACTAGCGCGGCTAGTCACTGTCCCTTCGTCTTTTCCAGCTCTTCACAACTTTCACATTCATTGTACGTTTCCACATTGGACTTTAGTTAAATCTCGGACATAACACATTGGATATTTTTAACTCGGACTTCATTGAGCCCCATCTTATCCATATTCTTTTAAATCCTAAAAGTATTTCATAGACATTTTTATTTTTAGTTAAGTTTCAAGCGTCTACAAATAGAATGTTAAGAAATCGCAAAGTCAAAGAGGGCAAACTTTTAAAAACTCAACACGTGAAAGCAAGAGCCATTAATACAAGTCATAAGCTTCGATGTCATGTGAATTTACTAATGAATTATTTGCTTTGTCTCCCTCTATCTTGCCTATTTGGCATTTTCCTTTGATAAATAAATATTTATCCAACTTACTATCTATGTTTTTCAAAATATAAAATTTTGTTTTAGAGATAAATTTTAAATAAAATTGGCTGTTCCTGTAAGACTTTGAGTTTAGCTGCATTTTATTAGTGCAGCTAAACTCAAATGTTCTCGTCAATATTTTAATAAAGATCAAATGTATGCTCAAAAGGGCACTTTAAATCCCAATTTATTTATTAATTTATCCTTTACTATTTATTTATTTTCTCCCCGCTCCAAAACACAATTTACTTTTTTCTATTAAACATTTTTCTACCGCCCATTTTTGTCGCCTATTTAATGCTCTTGCCAATTCCCTTAAATCACTTGCTTGTTCATCATTTTTACTTGTTGTTTTCCATTACTTGCTTGCTTTTTGATTGTCAGCGCTTTTTGAGCCCTGCCAATCAATTCCAACCAACCTTTTTAACTTGCTCGAATTTTTATATATTTTAAGACCGCAAGGGCCTGCTCTGTTGACCGGCAGCCCCAAATTTGTGCTCGGCTTATATTCCCCCGAGGCACTTCAATTATAATATTATTTTAAATAAATAAATATTTTTTAATTGTGTTCTGTGTTCCGTCGACCATAAAACTTAAGGAGTCATTCGTTCTGATCGAATCCCTCCTGTCCCTCCTGAATTGAGCTATCGAGGTATTGTGCAACTTCATTTCAGCACAAAATGTTTTTTTTTGTTTAACCGCTCTTGAATCATGTTTTGTTTGATTTGCGTGAGAGAGTGTTAAAAAGGGTTTTTGATTTTTTGTTTTTGTTTGCGGTTGAACACATTCGCTAACTGGTAAACTCAAGTTATTACACTCCTAGATATGTCATATTATTATAAAATGCTTTAGAATCAATTACTCATTGGAGTAACTGTTTTGTTTTGTTAGCCAGTATAAAGACCATATAACTAGGTAAATATAAACTAGATTCAATACAAAAAAAAATAGTTTCAATTTATCCAACTCCAAAAAGAATACAATTCAAAAAAGATAAATAATGTGGATCTCAACGGTCAACAATGTTGAGTCCTTGCGGTGATTTTTCGAAAATAAAAAAATTTAAAATAGGTATACAGGGTATAATGCGGGTTACGAAACGTTAACTGTTTTAAAAAGAAGGATAACTTTCAAAAGAATCCTTTCTAAAACCCGAAAACAAAAGTAAAAATTTTAAAACAGCATTGGATGCTGATTCAGAATACTTTGTTTTAAAATAAAAAATACTGCTTTTGAATTTTATGGAACCACTTTCTTCATTTCTCCCAATTATCTTCATCTTACCTAATTTTTTAAAAAAGTTTTTGAAACTGAAAATATGTCACAAATTCTGGTCAAGATATTTTATAATTTTCCATACCTCTAACTCAAGAAAAATTTTGAGTTAAAATTTGTCTCTGAGAGCACTAATACACAGAACGAAATTTCATATCTTTGAAAGGGTGCATAAAATTCAAAATTACCCAAAAACCGAAAAAAAAATCCAAAAATGTCTTTTTAACTACCCAAAAATATGTAAAAAGTTTTTTACTTCAACTCCTCTTCTTCGCTTTGTTGATCGTCAAGATCTACTTTTATGCCGTCAAGTATTTTTACGTACTCTTTTGCTTTCTCGAGCACACGTCTTCGAACTTTTTTCAGAGCAGAATTCATCAGTTCAAGTAAATCTAATTGGTTTGGGTTTTGATAGTATTGTTTAATCGCATTAACTGCTCTTTCAACTCCAAATCGACCTTAATAAAATTTTGTAAAATATTTTTACACAAATAATTTCACCGGTCAGGCATCGACCTACATATAACTTTCTGACAATTATTGTTAGGAGCTTACCCACATTCAAATGCTTTAATGACTATGAAAAAGTCTCAAAAACGCACAAACATTTTAGAAAACTTGCCTGTACTAGTCCCACTAGATGTCATAAAATGAGCGCTTGTATTTGCATCACCTATAGCGGCAATAATTGCTGAACCATGTGTTCCATTAATTTCTTTCGCAGGATTTTCAATTCCATAAATTGCCACATAAAATGTGCTTGTATTAGCACTGTGAGGGTCAAAATAAAGAACTTGTTTTGGTTTACGAGCTATTTCTTCGACTTTATAACTTGTACTTGAACTACCAACATGTTCGTCTTCATGACCATCAATAACAAATTCCTGTCGTTTAAATTTCTCCAGATGTCTAGCAGACAATGTATAATCAAATAGAGCTTTGGCCCATTTCTTTTGTAATTTATCATAAATGTTGTCATATTGTTTTAATATTTGTTCATTTTTGTTTTTCAAGGCAGTGAATTCATACCAACGAGTAGGATTTGCAGAGTAACTAATTTCTGAATGTAATTCATTCTCAGCTTCATGGAATTCATCAGCACGGCTTCTTCTCTCCGCATTAAATTCCTCAATAAAATATACAAGTGCTTGAGGTGTTATGGATGCAATATGCAATGTTGGATTTGATTCAAAAAGGCGAACAACAATTTGCTTATCTTGTAAAATCATCTCGGTTAAGTTGGCATAAGTTGATTTAAGTTGATCAGAAAGAAAATCAGCTTGCCGAATCAATTCATCAATATTCTGTTTTATCAGATGTTTCTTCATAAGAGACATACGATCACGGTAGAAGGCAGCAGAATCTTCAAATACTTTAATATTAGGATTCTCTTTATCGAAGATAACAACACCATAATTTTTTGATTCTGTCAATTGTTGTGGTTGCTCTGAAAATATGGGAAACTTGTATTGTTATGGCAGTTTATGGAATTTTAAAATCATTTTTGTAATTCTTACCTATAAACTCCGTTCGTATGTGATCTCGAGCACCACCAGCACAGAACAACAAATCAAAAGGAATTCCAATTGTTTCATTTTGTTCATAAATTTTCATCCCATTAAAATTTCTTAATATTTGCTTTAAACGATTAAAATCAAAATCTGGATTGTTTCGCTTATTCGAAGCACCGAGGATGGCCAAAGGCGTTTCATAGTATGTATTTATGTTCAAAACTGCTGTATTATAGATCAAATTCAAAAATGATTTTCCATGTTGATTTCCTTGTTCTCGTCCATTTATATAATTTGATAAATTTTTTAACCGATCCTTCAAAAATGTTTCCATATTTTTTATGTTAACAAACCCAATATCTTCATCAAGAATTCTTCCCAAAGATTTTTCTCCATTTTCATTGTCAAAAAATAATTTATCGAATTCAGTACCCAAAAAGAAACGTAATTGTGACATCCATTTTCGATCAAAAAAGACAACTCGATTTCGTATGTAATTTTCAGAACGATCATTTACCAGGGTTACATTCACTCCTTCTAAAAATAATTCTTTAATAGATTGAAAATTGCCGGTTTATCGTTTGTGGAATTAGACTAAACCCCGCCAATATGGCTTAAACTTAAAACTTATGGTAAACTGTCATGGTCTCGATCTTATAAACTCAGCGACCAAATAAGAACCCCCCCCCCCCCTCTTTTTACCAGAACTGTTCAAAAACTAAGAAATTACCCATAAAAAGTTTGTAGGTAGCATATAAACCGACAGGACCAGCCCCCTGCACAACTGCGTGTTTATTCTTGATTCCTTCTCTATGTTCCTCATAAATTCTTTTATAAATAGCTTGGTCCAATTTTTCAGTTTGTATTTTCGATAATTCAAAAATATTTTTTAAATCCTTCATTTCAGGGTGTTCTTCCATAAAAGAGAATATATCAATCAAAGAGCCTTCTGCCCCCTCAGAATGTAAATCTCTAATAAACACTTTACATTGAATCACTAAATTAATTAAATCTTCGGGTGTTTTTGGATGTTTCGGAGGAGGTGAATGTCCACCAGATGAATGTTCATCATGTGAAGTAGAAGGTCCCAAACACCCACAGAATTTCTGAAAATATCTAGCTCTTTTTCCCTTTTTCGCGCCTTTGTTTTTCTCCATGATCTCTTCACATTGAGCAATCTCTTCTATTTCAATTCGACTCATTCCATCATCATTATCATAATTTTTCAACCAATTTTTAACTTTTTCATGTGTACACAATTTATTGTTAATTAACTTGTTTTTACTCTTAAAATTCTCAATTTTAGTTATAATACCGTCCACAGCATTTTTAAACACTCCAACACTCTCTTTAAGCTTCTCTAAATTCTCCAAATAAATTTCCCTTTTTTCTGCTTCTTCGATTTGCCGGAAATATCTACCCGGCTTTATGTTTTCATTATTTTCAATATGAATCCATTCATCATACATAAGCACATCATTCGATTGTGTACTCCCTCGAGGCATTCTAGTGTTATCTTCCTCAGCAATGTTAACTAACTGTTCGAGGCGCCACTCTTTGAAGCCATTCACTTTAAAAAAATTTTTAATCCATGAACGAAGCCATAAATAAGGATGTTACGATACATAATTATTCACGTTAAGGGTTATTAATAGGGTTGGACACAACATCAACATTAAAGAAATTTATGGCAAGAACAAAAGTGCGGAAAATTTTCCGCGCCCTGTATAAGGAAAAATATAAAAAATATCCTGTGAAAGCAACCAATAACAACAATCCACTTTATCTTTCAAATCCGTGGATTAGGAAGGATAATCTGAAATATATCGGTTGATATAACTAGTGCTGGGTATTGGACATTTGTTGGCTACGACCCGACCTTCAAACATTGGATATAAGTTTATTAAGAGCGATGTCGTTGGATTAACTAGATATTTGGGATTTATTATTTTTCTCTCAAATTTTATTTTAGTTTAATAGTGTGGACAAATAAGGTATGAAAACAAATTGGAAATTTCATTGGTTGGATTCCTGGTTAAAAAATTATTCCACCTGCATTGAATTTGTATCGAGTCTGAGGGAATTTTTCTCCTGGAAACAATGCATAAATAAGATTTTGTTGTATTGTTGCCATCAGCCTAGGTTCATTATTAGCAACATTTTTATCAAAAAATGAAGCCAGAAGCAAAGCAAGCCAAACAAGATTGAAAGGTAAAAGAAGCATTTTTGCTTTGCCTCTCATTTTTTTTTACTTCTTTCAAATGGAGAAGGATTTTTTAATTTTTTGGGGGAGAGGTTGTTTTTGAAGTTTTTTAAATGAATGACTGAGTTTGGCTAGGATAGATTTGCTTATATTGGCATTTAAGGGAATGGAGAGCTGAGGGCATGCGTTAGTATAGAGGAGAGGAGTTTGTAGAATGGCATGAAATGTTACCCTGCCCTATTCCGATTTCATCAATCAGGCTGGCAAAATTTTCTCGAGGGAAAGAAAGGCAGGGGAAGGAAAGGCAATAAGGAAGAAGTCAATAAAATTTTTTTAATTGCTTTCCTCGCAAATTCAATAATTATTTTTGCCCATAGAAAAGGGCAATGAGAAGGAGAGGAGACTGACTTGACTGCCAATCATTGGTGTGTGAATGACTTTAAAAAATGTTTTATAGTGTTTTAAATAAGTTCATTTAAACTTTTGTGTCACTCTGTTACAAAAACAATAGCTGGGTAAACCATTTCTTAACCCTATGTATTTGTCACAGGAAAATTTTAATTTTAGGAGAATTTTAAATTTTCTGAAAAGTTAGGAAAACTTTTATGAATATTTAAAATTTTCTAAATCAACGTACGGTGAATTGAGGCTAGAGTAGGTCGAGGCGAGGTTTTTTTGAAAAAAACGAGACCAGGGACCATGGTTGCGTCGTAATTACGAATTACGATTACGAATTACGGCATTTTTTGAGTTACGAATTACGATTCCGAAAATTTTTTAAAAATTACGAATTACGAAAAAAGATTTCGATTACGACGCAACTCTGCCAGGGTTCACCGAGGCCGGAAAAGCCGAGGTCGAGGTCGATCGGCAAATTTTGGCCGAGGTTCGAGGATAACCGTGGTTTTTAAAAAAAATTTTTTATTAACTTCAACCAAATTTAAAATTTACCAAATTTTATCAAAAATACACCAAATCATTATTGAATTCATTTTTTAAACTTATCAGATTCAGTATGTAGCCCAAGCGTCAGTTTAGATTCGGGTTTTGGGTTTCATTTTAAGATAAACCCCAAATTTTTTTAAATTCAGCTCCATAACCAAAAATTTTGGATTGATAAGAGCCAGAATCTTCCAAAAAAAACTAAACTGAATCATAAAGCACAAGGATTAAGAGGATATAAATTTCAGATTGAGAGACCCACTTTTCTAAATCCAAAAAATGTAATAGTACATGTTTGTTTTTTGTTAATAAATTTTAGTTGTTTAGAAATAGAAGGTTAAGAAATCGCAAAGTCAAAGAGGGCAAAATTTTAAAAACTCAAACACGCGAAGGCGAGAGTCAATAATACAAGTCATAAGCTTCGATGTCATGTGTATTTGCTAATGAATTATTTGCTTTGTCTCCCTCTATCTTGCCTATTTGGCATTTTCCTTTGATAAATAAATATTTATCTAACTTACTATCGATGTTTTTCAAAATATAAAATTTTGTTTTAAAGAAAAATTTAAATAAAATTTAAAAACAAAAATTTTAAAAATTTTTGATGAAAACAAAATAAAACTCTGTGAAAAACATGCTTGAATAATGAAAAACATGCTTGAATAACAATTCAAAAAAGATAAATAATGTGGATCTCAACGGTCAACAATGTTGAGTCCTTGTGGTGAATTTTTGGATAATAAAAAATTTAAAAATAATTTCAAATAACAAAAGAAAATCCTCATAGAGGAAAAGGCACTTTTGTCGGTTATTCAAATGGATATTTGTGACTATTCCAGATCTTACTTGATAGCATGAGGTTTTTAACAAATAATTTAAAAAATCTGATTAACCGACAATTTTCAAAAAAAAGTTGTTAATCCTCATAGAGGTAATAATTTCGAAAAAAATAATTTAAAATTTCTACAAAGTCGAATCTCAACATAAAATAATTTGCATGCTCTTATGGGGGTATCCTGAGTTAATAGTGGTTAGGGTCGGCGTTAGCTTAGTATAATAGGTCTTTTCCAGTCTTAGTTGTTTGCAACGCTGTTTAGAACGAAATAAAACCTTCGAAAATCTGAAACTGAATAAGGTAAAAAATATCGAAAATTATGAGAGATGTGAATTTCAGTCAGTTTTAAGCTGTTAGTGTTATTTTGTCAGTCGCAGTTAGTATTCTATCCAGCAATTAACTAGAAGTCAGCTCCCTTGGTGATGATTAAATGAACCAGCGTAATGAAAATATACCTATATGTAGAAACTAAGTTAGTTTCAAAGTCCCGATTCGTCCCCCTCAGTTTCAAAGTCCCAGTTCTAAGTCCCCCTTTCTATGTCTCAGAAACTAAGTTTTTATTTACACAACATGATCAAAAGAGTCAAGAATGAGGTTATCTTTAACTTATCCTATAGTGAGATTCGACTTTAACTCTAAATCGATGTGCATAACGAATTTCTTTACGACCCATAGGGTCAATTGTGTTTTTTGTCAAACTTTCAGGTGTGAGACTTAAAAGAAGTCAAATACTTGAAAAAATGACCACTAAAAAGTTAAAAATACACTTGTTGATAAAAAACTCAAAAAATCTCTCCTTTTCCCAATCTCTCCTCTTCCCAATCCTCCTCTTTGTTAAACTAGTCATCCAAAAGATCTCTCTTAACACCATCAAGTATTTTTACAACTTCCTCTGCTTTTTCGAGTACTCGCCTTCTTACTTTTTTCAATGCAATCTTTAACATTTCCAATAAGTTCTCTGTTCCGTTGCTTTTTTTATACTTCTTAATCGGCGTAGTGACAGAAGACCCACAGACAGAATACCCAAGGACAGAAGAACCACAGACAAAAGACCCACAGACAGAATACCCACAAGAACAGAATACCCACAGACAAAAGACCCACAAGAAAATTTTTAAAATTTCTGAAAAAGATTTCTAATTTTCAAGAAGCAAAATTAAAAAATTTTAAAATATAAAAAATTTTTTATTATAAAGTTAATCAATATAATTAACATAAATCTGATATGTCAGGGAATTTCAAGGGATGTAAACCTTTTAAGCTTTTACTACTAATCCGCTTTTATCACGCGATATCCCTCCATGTTACTCAGAAAAAATTAACTAATCTCTAATATCCCAAAGATCCCGTTATCCTTGTATATCTTCAATACCCTTGATCGCTTCTAATCCTTCTATATCCCTCCATGTGACAAGAATTTTGGAAATTTTGTAAGATCAAGAAGCCTGATTTCTTCATTTTTAGTGACACAGGTGCGAATTCTGAGAATATTGGAAGGCCAATTAGCTACATATTTTTATACTATTTAATACATCTGAATCTGATCGGATCCGATTTTTTGACACGACATGGACCGAATTTTCAGGATCAAAATCAAGAAAATCCGGGAAATTAAGATCTCTCTTCGCTAAATAAGTTCCAACGTAATTGTGACAATATTCCCATCGTTGGAACAACTTAACCCGTTGTTGCAAGAACATTCCCCATTGTTAAAATAACATACTCGTTGTTGGAACAAACTTCCCTGTCATTGGAACAACGTCCCACATTGTTGGAACAACCTTCCCTAATATTGAAACAACTTCCCGTTGTTGGATCAATTTCTTATTGTGGGAAACAGATAGAACTAACAACATCCCTCGCGCCAACATTTATGCACAATAAAAGGGAAATAAAAAATAGTTGTGGGTCTTTTGTCTGTGGGTATTCTGTCCTTGTGGGTCTTCTGTCTGTGGGTCTTTTGTCTGTGGTTCTTCTGTCCTTGGGTCTTCTGTCTGTGGGTCTTCTGCGTCGACACGTTCTTAATCATCGAAACTGCATTATCAACTCCAAATCGACCTTAAATTTTTTAACTAATTGCTCTCAAATTGAAAGGTATACATAAATATTGTAAGGAATAATCGGCACTTTTTTTCTCGATGGAAAATGTCCGGGTATCCGAAAATTTCGTTTGTATATCGAATATTCAAAGTTTCAGATATCAGGATACAACAACGGCAAAAATTTTTTAACATCTCTGTACTTTTTTGGTAAAATTCTTACTTCATTGGAAGTAATCTTAAAGGATTCTCTTGCAGCGCTAAGGAAGGCTTATGTTTATATATTGTTATTGTTTCATCGATAAATCAGTTCCCAGTTAGTCAGTCTTTAATATATGTGCCCCAAAGAGGAAGCACCCCGGTGTTGCTTGGTAAAGGCTTAGCTAGGGTCTGGCCATACCAATAGCTTTCCTTTCTGGGTGGTTTTATGTGCCTAGGTTGTTTTGGAATGGACCCAGCATGATTCCACTTAACTAAATTAGGAACTTGCCTGTGCTCATACCACTCACTGTCTTAGGATTAGCACTTGTATTTGCATCACCTATAGCTGCAATAATTGCCGAATCTCTTTTTCCAGAAATTACTTTTACAGGGTTTTCAATTCCATAAATTGCCAACCAGAATGTGTTTGTATTTATACTGTAAGGGTTAAATTTAAGAATTTGTGGTTCTTGACCAATTTCTTTGGCGTTATGTTTTCTCTCTGATTTTGTCTTCTCTTTTATACCTTCCTCCATAACAACTACTTGCTTAACAGCTGTTTCATTATCCACACCTGTCAATCCTCTTCTTTCCAACTCTTTATGATATGAATATTCTAAAACAGCTTTAGCCCATCTTTTCTGCAATTTATCATAAAAATCGTCATATTTTTTCAAAACTTTTTTAATTTTTTTCTTCTTTAAGCTCCAACCTTTGATCTCGCAAAACTCTTTAGCCAGCTTGTTTCTTTCATTTTTAAATTCTTCAATAAACTCTACCAATGCCAAAGGTGTTTTTGATGTAATAAATAACGTCGAGTTTGACTCAAAAATAGTTGCAACTATTTTTTCTTTCGATGTTTGATGAGGTTCCTCCTCTATTTTATTCTTACTCTTCTCCTCCCCTTCCTCAATTCCTTTAATAATCTTTTCTTTCAAATTTAGATAATTTTCTTTAAGTTTTACAGAAAGAAAATCAGTTTTCAATTCATTTATATTTTGCTTTGATAGATGTGTCTCCATCTCCGTCATTGGGTCATTAAATAAGAAGGCAATGTTTTCTTCAAAGACCTTGTCCGAATATTTTTTGTCAAAAACAACAACCCCATAATTTATATTTTCTGTCAGTTGTTCTGGTTTTTCTAAAAAAATTGATGTTTAAAAAACCTTTTAAACAAAACTTGCCCAAATATTTCTCGCGTATCTTGTCATTTACTCCACCAGCGCAAAAAAATAAATCAAAAGGAACTCCAACTTTTTTACTCCCTATTAATTTTTTGTTTAAATCTTTCACTTTAGAGTCTGGAATAATATTTTCATCTAACAACTCTACTATATTTTCTGGCAATTCAATTTCTTTATTTTTGTAATAATTCGAGATTAGTTGTTTTTCTTTTTTGCCTAAAACAGCCAAAGGTTTGTCATGTTTTCTATTTATGTCCAAAACAGCTATATCATATATCAAAGTTAAAAATGAGGCTTCTTTTTTATTTTTCTCTTTGCCCTTTACATATTTTGACAATTCTTTTAAACGTTCCTTTAACGCGTTTTCCATAATTCCAATGTTAACCATACCAATCTCATCTTCAAGCAATCTCCCCTTTGATTTTCCTTCTTTATCAAATAATTTATCAAATTTAGTGCCCAAAAAGAAACGCAATTGCAGCATCCATTTGCGGTCAAAAAATACTAGTTGATTTCTAATATACTGCTCTGAACGATCGTTTACAAGGGTTACATTCATTCCTTCTAAAATAATTTAAATTAAATATTTTTAGATTGAAGATGCTTTGTGGATACAAAGTTTATTTGGCGCTGTCTAAGACATCCAGGAAAGAATATGCCTACCCCGAAAGAACATCGAGCGTAAATCAGCATTAAGATAAAAAATAATAACGAAAAAGATTGTTATCAGGCACTTACATTTACTCTTGATAAGTATTGCCATATAAGAATTATTAATCCCTACTCTCAAATCTTATCTTATATATTTTTCCACTTTTTAAGTGTATAATGGATTTACTACAGCTTTTAAATGTTATTTAAAATATTAAAACAATAAAGATTGACCAATAAAAAGTTTGAAGGCAGTGTATAAACCAATTGGACCCGCACCTTGCACAATTGCATTTTTGCATTCTTTTCTTTCTTCATACTCCATAGCTTTATTTTCCAAATGTTCACTATAAATATTCTCATTTATAGCTTTATCCAATTCTTTACTTTGTATTTTGGATAACTCAAAAATCTTTTTTAGAGTCCCCTCCAACTTCTCATCTTTTTCCATAAAAGAGAATATATCAATTAAAGAGCCTTCTTCTCCCTCATAATTTAAATCTCTTATAAACACTTTACAATTAATAATTAAATTAATAAGACGATTTATGCAATCTTCCTTGTTTGGTGAAGAAGGTTCTTTTGGCTTCTTAGAAGGAGGGAAAGTCTCAAAATAATGAAGACCCCTTTTAAAGCATAAACACGTTGAATAAGACTTATTTTCTTTACTCATCTCATACTCTATCAATTCATCTTCAACACTCTTTGGCTCGCATTTTGTCTCATTATCAAAGTTTTCTGAAACAAATTTTTCAGCTTTTATTGTGATACTCTCTACAGCTTTTTCATATACTTCAATAAATTCTCTTGGGCCAATTTTTATATTTTCTGTAAAATATTTTTCAATTTTATCCAAATTCTCTGATTTCAAAATATATTGAAATTCCTCAAATAAAATGACATCATTTGATTGTGTACTGCCTCGACGCTGCCCAGTCGAATTGTCTATCTCAGCAATGTTAATTAACTGTTGAATGCGCCAATCTTCAAGGCCTTTCACTGAAAAAACATTGGAAAGTTAAGACAAATCCCGTAGGCTAGCGAGACTCAGGTTCGATGCCTCGCGGGGTTGGTGGCTGCTTTAGTTAGTCCTGTGTGGTGGTAATCGGATCTAGCTTTTCTTGTAACTCACATGTCAGCAGGGTTTGACTGCTAGGTTGGCTGATCCGCATATCCGAATTCGAAAAATGCCGGGTATCCGTAAATTTTCGGTTCGGATACCGGATCTCGGATATCCGAATATTTCCAACTATTCGCCAACCTTATTGACTACTAACAAGTATATAAATCCATAACGCTTTCCTTTCGGCTGTAAAATAGCCTTTGTTGTTGCTTGAATTACACCGAAAAAAATATTTATTCCCCAAGTTTTTAATATTCTTTCACCTTCATTAAATTTGTATCGTTTGCCTTCATTTGTTGAGGGAAAAGCGGCAAATGCCAGATTGTTTTGTATTGTTGTAGGTTTTTCTTTCGGATCAACAGCTCCATTTTTATCGAAAAATGAAACGAGAATCAAAGCAATCCAAAACACATCAAAAAGCAAAAATATTTTTGTTTTGTCTCTCATTCGGATTTTTCCGAATCCTTTGTTTAAAGAGAAGAATCTCTTTAAAGAGAGATATTTTTTGTCAAAATGTTTAAGTTTTTTGGTTGAATAAAAGTAAATTTTAGCTAAAATAATTTTATTTATACATCGACTCTTGATACTATAACGAATTCGAAGAGAAAAGAAAAATGTTCGTTATATCGAGAGCAGAGGTGAATCGGAATTCCGATTTTTGATTTCCGAAATTTGGGAAAAATCTTCAAATTCCAATAATTTTTGAGATAGTATATCAAATAAAATAAACGTAAACAAACGATTTCCTTAACATAATTTAAAAATTGCAAAAATGTCTTTTAAGGTGATTTGGGAGTGAGTTAATAAATTGGTATAGGTATATCATAAGTGACTAGGAGTCAACTAAAGTGATCGGAGGTTGAATTACGCATATGTTGGGGAATAAATTTATATAACCGAGCAGTCCTAACAAAAAAGGAGTGGAATCTAGCTTTGTGTTACGTGCTATGGGTAAAATGTTTTGGAATCCCCTGGTATTAGCTTTATTATATTTCCGACTGAAGATTTTATTTAAATTTCCAAATCGCCCACGGTGCTGAAAATGGACAGTTCCAATTTCCGGCATCTCTCCTTAGTTATATGCCAAATAAAAATTTGAATGTAAAAAATAGAAGAGTTTTAACAAATTATGTAATTTAAATTAAATTTGTTTATTATAAAAAAGACGTTATTTAATAATAAATATTATACATATAATTCGCTTTTAAAAATTAAAAAAAAATGTAAAATTGATTAGGGAGTTATTTAAATTGAATGCCCTCCTCTTTCGATGCTTTAAAAGGAATTATTGATTCTGACATTTGACAGGGCAAAAATAATTGGCATATGACTTAAACAAAATTAAAACACAATCCGAAAACAAATTTTAATGTTGAGTTATTCAGTAGTCTAAACATGTTTACTGCTAGAAAGCTAATTTTTAAGTATTTTGTATATAAAAATCAAAAGTTGGTTAACTAGAAAAGGCTAAATGTTTAAATATTTAGGTCCAAGTTTAAATACAGTTGGACCTCAATATGAGATATCTAGATCCTTAAGGCTGAAAAAATTGTATATAATGAAGTGTATCTTAAATAGAGGGTATCTCGTATTTCTATCGTATAGGTAGTGGGATTTTCGGTTGTATTTGAAGGTGGCAATGAAATGATTTTAAACATCTAAGGGTCGTCGAGGTGCATAGAGCCATACGAGGATGTCCCGGATTCGACAACTCTGAACGAAGTTATAGCTCGGCGGTACCTTGGGCTTGCGGTACCTTGGGATGTATACGATAAAAATTACCCGATAACCCTTTGAAAAGCACATAAAATCGAGATTCGACTATACTTTAAAAATATTTTTTTTACTTTTTTTGACCTTTTAGATAAGAAAAGTGTCCTTTCCTTTCCATCGTTTAAATAATATAGCGATAAAACATATTAGTTTGTTGTAATCGATTCCTTTCATTTTAAAAAAAAGTTTTGTTGTTAACCACCTTATAATTTTGCAAATGTTTTAATAATTTTTGCCTCTTCATTTTGACGTTTTTAAAAATAAAAAATATTTTTAAAAATAATAATAACTTTAAAAATTTCTTTTTCTTTAAAATAAATTTATTTTTTCAATTCTTTGAAAAATTATTTCTGTTGGAAATTAGGAATTTATTTTAATATAGTACGGTTTGCATCCAAACTAAGGTTTGCATCCCTCCCTAATCCCTTTTCTTTATTTACCAAAATTTGCCACTTTACAATTTTATATATTAATTCAGTTTTGAAAATAAAAATTTTATTGCCTATTTCCGAAGTTTTTTCCTTCCGATTTCCGAGTTCCGACTTTTCAGCCAGTTCCGATTTCCGACACCTCTGGCTGTTCCGACCCACTTCTGGTCCGGATATATGTTTATGTAAAAACACCTAACAGCATTTAAAACGCTTAGGCGGGGGTTAAACGCTTTATAAGGAGAATAGAGAAAGCCGTAGCCCCAGTAGCTCAGTAATTCGAATCTTGCCCGGTGGCTACACTTTTGTTAAACGCATACTTTTTAACGACATTTGATAACCTTTAAAGCAATCCTAAGGGTAACTTCTATCGAGATTCAATTTTATTTCCATTTATCCCCTCAAACGTGTTCCTAATTAAGTTTGTTTTATATTCGAGTTGATTACCTAAATACTATATTTTGAAATATTTTCACACTAATTTATTAAAACTGAAAAACGTATGAAAAACGAGGCTGATGATAATGACAGTTCTGAGGTGTCTTTAAAAATTCTTTGAGAACATTAGCAAACTGAATTTTCCCTTTAGGGACTGGAAGCTTTATTGAATCGCGCAAAATGGACAGATTCACAATTAGAGGAAGTTATGCGGTTAATTTATGGGAGACGTTGTCCGTAAGTGAATTAAAGTCAGACCTCACGCATACCTCCAATATTAGACCTCGATTACCATCTTTGTTCGGCACAAACCTCCTCTTATTGTAAGGAAGAAGGGAGGTCCCTCTGGCTAACTTTTAAAACGCTTACTAGGCGAGGGTATGAGATCTACTTAAGGGGGGAAAGCAGCAACCCGATAGCTAAGCGGATATTTAATTGAGAGCGGAAGTTCCCAGCAATAACCTGTTAGATATTCGTAGGAGTGATGTCTGTCTTAGTTAGACTTTCAGGTATTACTATACAACCCTCATCAGAAGAGACTGTTTTTTACCCTCAGGGGCTATCTAATAGTGAAGTTTGACCAATTGGGAATCGTTGCAGCTCCATTAAAGATTGTTGCCTGTCCATGGTTAACTTTTAGGTATTACTATAACACCTCATCATAAGATGCGGTTTTTTAACCCCCAGGGGCTATCTAATAGGGAGGTTTTACTATTGAAATTTGTTGCAGCTCCTATTAAAATTTGGAAAAATTTTGAAAAATTTTTTGGAAAAAATTTTATTTTTTAAGCCAACTTTCTTTGAGTAATGATTTATTGGAGGCATCTATGAGTAATGGATTTGAAGTTAAAGGCTTTCAAATTAAAGCATTAGAGGAACAATGCCGTCGCCCTAGAAGAGTGGGGTTTATTTGATTTTTTAGCAATTTTCGAAAAAAAATTATTTAATAGGTTCGAGTTGCTGCTATACAAAATAAAATTGTTTTACCAACAAGTGCTCCTATAATACAGCAAAGGGAGGCAATACATCAAAGGGTATAGTTAGCAAATTAGGGTTGTACTCCGATCGACCACTAACAAGTATACCGTAGATGCTGAAATAATTACCCCGTGTAATTATTGGTTCAATCTTTCGCTGGAGGTAATTAATAGGAAAGATGTACTGGGTTTGGGGTATATCTCAATCTAATTTATTTTTTGATATTGTTTAAAAATGTTCCAATAATTAAATTTACCTAACAATAATTCTTTCCATCCTATATATAATTTTAGAATTAATGTTTGTCTGTCCGCAGCTTTGAATTTTGCCGTGTTTGGCGTTGTGTTTATTTTTTAATTGAAAATGACAAAATATCCCAAAATGAAAAATAGTGTGTGTTTAGAGAAGTAAAGAAAGAATGTGAATTTTTTAGAATTTGTTTTGTCTTTTTTTTTTGGATTTTTGTTTGTTTGTTAAATGTATTTGAGATGTGTTTTCATTGTTTTGACTGTTTTTTAAAATTTGTTTTACTTAGAAAGAAAAATAGTGTGTATTTAGGAAAGTAAAGAAAGAATGTGAATTTTTTAGAATTTGGTTTGGGTTTTTTGGAATTTTTTTTATTTTTTTTCGTTCTTTGGGCTTTTTCTTTTAATCAATTTTTTAAGTTTTGTTATTCGTCTGATAGAAGAGTGAGGGAAGAGTTTCAGTAATGTTGAAAAGAAAAGGGTTCCGTATATGGGTGAAAAGAGTCTGTAAATGGTTGAAATAATGGTGAGCGAAAATGGTCCCGTAAATGGGTGAAAAATCTGCGATGGTGGAATGATGGTAAGCGAAAATGGTCCCGTAAATGGGTAAAAAGGGTCTGGAAATGGTTGGAATAATGGTGAGCAAAAAGGGCCCCGTAACTGGGTGAATAGGTCCGGAAATGAGTGGAATAATGGTGAGCGAAAGGGTCCCTAAATTGGGTGAAAAGGGTCTAGCGATGGTTGGAATAATTATAAGCGAAAATGGTCCCTTAAATGGGTAAAAAGGGTCTGGAAATTGTTAGAATAATGGTGAGCAAAAAGGGTCCCGTAACTGGGTGAAAAGGGTCCGGAAATGGTTAGAATAATGGTGAGCAAAAAAGGTCCCGTAACTGTGTAAAATAGGTCTGGCAATGGTTGGAATAATCGTGAGCGAAAATGTATGAAAAGGGTCTGGAAATGGTTGGAATAATGGTGAGCAAAAAGGGTCCCGTAAACGGGTGAAAAGGGTCTGACAATAGTGGGAAGAAGAGATTTCGAGCAACAAGCAAGAGAAAAGTGTCCGTCAAATGGCGTGAGAAAAGGATTCTTCAATAAACAAGATAAAAGAGCCCGTCAATAGAAAAATGAATATAGTGATCAATAGGCTCGAGAAAACTGTCCCACAACGAGTGAAAAAAGGTAAGGACTGAGATAGATGAGTGACATTATTAATAGTTGAAAATAGATATTAATAGTTAATATGAAAGTTGAAAATCTTAGTTAATAGTTGAATCATTGTTAATAGTTAATAGTCGAAAAGTGATAGTTAATAGTTGACATAGATATTAATAGTTAATAATTGAAAATTTATAGTTAATAGTTGAAATAGATATTAATAGTTGAAAGTTGAAAATCTTGGTTAATAGTTGACATAGATATTAATAGTTAATAGTTGATAATGTTTAGAATTGTAATGTTTAGAATTTAACTAGCGGAAGGGGCTAGCTGGAAATGGTTGGAATAATGGTGAGCGAAAAGGGTCCCGTAATTGGGTGAAGTAGTTCCACAATGGTTGGAATAATGGTGAGCGAAAAGAGTCCCGTAATTGGGTGAAATGACTCTGGCAATGGTTGGAATATTGTTAAGCGAAAAGGGTCCCGTAATTGGGTGAAGTAGTTCCACAATGGTTGGAATAATGGTGAGCGAAAAGAGTCCCGTAATTGGGTGAAATGACTCTGGCAATGGTTGGAATAATGGTGAGCGAAAAGGGTCCCGTAATTGGGTGAAGTAGTTCCACAATGGTTGGAATAATGGTGAGCGAAAAGGGTCCCGTAATTGGGTGAAGTAGTTCCACAATGGTTGGAATAATGGTGAGCGAAAAGAGTCCCGTAATTGGGTGAAATGACTCTGGCAATGGTTGGAATATTGTTAAGCGAAAAGGGTCCCGTAAATGGGTGAAAAGGTCTGGCGATTGTTGGAATAATGGTAAGCAAAAAGGGTCCCTAAATTGGGTGAAAATGGTCTGGAAAGGGTTGGAATAATGGTGAGCGAAAAATATTTGAAGGTTGGTTAATAGTTAATAGTTGTAAATTAATATTTGAAAATTGGTTAATAGTTTAAATAGATATTAATAGTTGAAAATTGAAAGTCTTAGTTAATAGTTGAATCATTGTTAATAGTTAATAGTTAAAATTGATAGTTAATAGTAGACATAGATATTAATAGTTGGAAGTTGAAGTTTTAGTTAATAGTTGAATTAGAGTTAATAGTTGACGACTGAGGTTTTAGGTATGAGATGTTTTAATTTAAGTTTATGTAATGTTTAGAATTTGGCTAGCGGAAGGGGCTCGCCCGAAGGGCGACCCCCTCCGCTAGTATTTTTAAAATTAGTGTAGAAGAACTAGGGGGTGATTATTAGTAATTATTTAAGCATTTACGGTATCGATAAGGTGACAATCAAAGACAGGAGTAGGTACTTTTCCGTTATGACGTAATACCCAAAATTAATGTTCAAAATGTCATATATAGGGTAGAAAAAGGTGCTGAGTCGAATGGTATTACTCTTTTTTCACGGAGATGCCTGTGGACCTTGATATAGGGCTCGAAATGGTCAAAAACCATAGGGGGGAGTAAGCTTAAATTTGGGGTGAAAAATTCCATTTTTTGAATGATAGCTCATTCGAAAGAGCTCCTCGAGCTGAGTCGAATGACACCAAAATCAGCTCGAAATCTTGATTTTGAGACTAGATGAACAAGCTCAAAATGGTCAACGCAAACCTATGGGGCGTAGGCGAGGCGCACTTCCCCTATGGTTTTTGACCATTTCGAGCTCTATATCTCGGTCCACAGGCATCTCCGTGAAAAAAGAGTGGTACCATTCGACTCAGCACCTTTTTCTACCCTATATATGACATTTTGAACATTAATTTTGGGTATTACGTCATAACGGAAAAGTACCCAGGAGTAGAACCAGGAATCTTTTTGGTTTAAAACTTGTGTAATGTAGTTAAATACAGGTCTTTAGGGTTTGGATAATTTTTAGGTCCCTCATTACAGATGTAATAGAAAATAATAAATATCCAATTATTATTAGATCGGTGTAATGATTGATATAGCAGCCGAAGCAGGTGCACAAATAATTTGCTTGCAAGAAGCCTGGCGTTTGTAATTAAATTGTTTTTATATAAAATTTATTTTTAGCAATGCCTTTTGCTTTTTGCACGCGGGAAAGACTCCCTTGGTATTTTAGTAAATATTTTTTACTCAAAAATTTATAAAGGACTGAATTTTCTGAATCCGCGGAGGATGGGCCGTCAACTAAATTTCTAAGCAATGTAACTTATAATAATAAAAGAGCGGGCTCGACCAGCTCGACCAGATGATTCGAACCATACCAGGGCGTACCAGGCGAACCATACCATCCGGATATTGAACAAAGTTATAGCTCGGCTGTACATTAAGTCGCGGTACACTGCCTGCTCCCCATTACGGACTAAAACAAGCTATGAAAGATGCTTTCTAACTTCCTTAACATCATCAACCTCGGGGTCGAATTTAGCTTACGTATAAAGGAAGTTGATATGTGAGGGGAGTCAAAAATCAGGCAAAACATGCCTCCTCTGGAACCGACATAAGTTGAGGTATGAAGGGTATAATTTTGTGATTGGGTGTCATATCAGAGAAATTCAGATGTAACAGTATTATATGGTAGCCTGCCTATGTCCTAATATGCAGAGGTTGATCAAAATTCCGATTTCCGGCACCTTCGTCATTTCCGATCGGCCTCTGCTAATATGTTAAATAAACTTTATAGTTTATAATTTTATTTAAAGTTGGCTAAAAAGCATGGAATTGTTATTATTTCTCCTATTTTGGAAAGAGATAAGGATGGACTAATTTGGAACACTGCGTAAAACATTTTTCAATTAAAATTAAAAAATTAATTTTCAAGTGTAATAATTTCCCACACTGGCACAGTTATTGGCAAAACACGAAAAAACCATATTCCTCGAGTCGGTGATTTTAACGAGTCTACATATTATATGGAATCTTTATTGGGACATCCGGTCTTTGAAACCGCTTTTGGCTAGTTTTATTAATTAATTATTATTTTTTAATAAATACTATCATTATGAAATATCCGTTTAAAGCCATAAAAAAATTTTATCTTATGATCAGGTATTCCGTATTTCCGAGGAATAGAGCCTCACGCTAAAATACCCCCCCCCCTCCCACTTGAAATAGAGCCCAACCTTGGAGGATAGTTGAAAAATAGAGCGTTTTATTTTCGGGAATACGGTATCTTAAATTTGCGGGTATCGCTTTAGGCAGCTATTTCACTCGGAAACAGAGATAGGCCGGATGGAGAAAAAAAACGAGTTGAGTCAGTTATAAATAGTGTAATTCAGCCTTGAGAATATATTTATGGAAAAATTTCAAATTCATCGGATCGGGGTTTCGATCAACCCGACCCATCCCTACTCAGTAATTAACAGAGGTGGGTGGGTCGGAGTTCCGATTTGCGACATTTTTTTGCTTCCGATTTCCGAAAAAATTTTGATTTCCGAGTTCCGACATTTGAGCCAGTTCCGAGTTCTGGCTCTTCCGATTTCCGATACCTCAAATTTTAGACCATTTATCTTACAAATTTTTCTCTTTTAAAGGCAAAATTGCTGTAAATATTTGTTATGGCCGTCATCACCCTCAAAATTGGTTAATGTATGCCCTTAATGGTGCTGCATTTTTAACTTTTTTTTCTTCTTAACCTTGTCAATTAAAGGGGCAGAAATAATTTTTAATCCGTCAGCAACAATTAGCGGACTTAGTGAAGCTCTATGGCCGATTGAAGCTAGAAATGCTGCTATAGCCAATCATGTTTTTACTGTTGCAATTAATAGGGTGGGGACAGAAGTCTTTCCAAATGAATTTACTTCTGGCAATGGAAAGCCTGGTAAATTGATAAAATAAAATTGGGGCTATTAACTTTACCGTAAATTTACTGGTAGAAGCCAATCTAATATTGAAGGGGCTCCTATGCCCTATTAGAGCCCCATGCCCTAAATAGAAGACCCCTCAACGAGACCCGTTGAAAAAATACTATGGCTTCTGTTAGGGCATTTACCTTATATTCCAATTTTTACGCTTCACATAATGCACTCTTGTTAAAAAAGTAAACTCCGATTTACTCCCTTAAGTCCAGTTTCGTCCTAGATTCTAGGGGTTTGATTCTTTCCTAGATAAACTATCCATACACAACCGAAGTTACCCATGAATCTAGTTATAAGACCTTAATTAGACTGTAACATAAACTTTAACTCCTGGATTGTAGAGACTTCCAAGACTCTTGGTCTTGAGTCTTTTTCAAGATTTTTCTTGGGTTTTTTCCGGTCTTGGTCTTGAGTCTATGGGTCTAGTTTTGATCTTGAGTCTTGGAAAATTTTCGGTCTAGGAAGTCTCTCTGGATTGCTTTTTCTTGAATTCTTAAACGAGAACTATATTAAATTAACAAGATTCTAGGTAGGGGCAAATTTCTAACCGATACTAGTCACAATTTCCAAATGTTTGCTTGTTCCATTATTGAATTTACAGTTTTCCTGGGCCAGATACTTAGCCTCTCAGTTACTAAATCTAAAGTTTTCTAATATAGCTGAAACTTTCACTAATAATTTTACCAAATTTTTAGCCCACAAGGATTTTGGACATTTTTATGGTAGTAGTTATGTAGCAGCACCTGACGGTTCTAGAACACCTGTATTTTTAATTTTATTAAAATCAAATGATTTAAACATTTGTAGGGATTATCAAGGAATAAGGAAGGCGTTCTTGTGGTAGAAATTGATTTAAATTTGTGTAGGCAAACACAGGACAGCTGGGGATTTAAAGTAAACTTTACATATTTATCACTTTTCACTCTTGACACTTTTGGGAGCAGAGGGACTTGGAGAGCTTAAGATAGAAAATCGAGGAGATTGGAGTATTCTTGGAATAATCCTTAGTTTTTTCCAGTCTTAGGCTAAAATCTAGACTATAAACTCTAACACTTGTCCAGTCTAGAACCAGTCTTGTCCAAAAGCTACCTTTAGAGGGCACCAGTCCAGACTTGCCAGTCTAGTTCTTTTCCAGTTTAGAACCAGTCTTTCTGCCTGACGGTCACACCCGTATTTATCAAGGTTCTATTGGCTAAAGAGCTAATCTGTCCTTTTTGAACAGAAAACTTTTTCCGTTCCGGAACCTTTCATATTTCTTATATGAAAAGTTGCTAGACTTAGCAATGGTTAGGAGCATAGATGGTTGGGAAATGCTTAAGGTGTCGGAAATCGATACGGGATTTCCAACCCCCCTACCCTCTATATAGGATAACATTGAGAAAAGTTATGAAAGGCATTTGAAGACCCGATAAAATTTTAAATTTAGATGACTCAACGTTTAGAATTGTATGCCCAAAGTTTGGCAAACTATACTAAACCAAATTACAAACAGAACATTGTAAATGAAAAATAAATAGAAATAAATAAAAATTAGACTAATTTAAAAATTTTCCCATTATTTTATTACAGACATAAAAAATTTTTTAACTCAAATTTTTAACATTATTTTAAATATCCCTCAATATTTTTTATCTCTTTCTTTAATTTCTCAACATTTAAGAAGCTCTTTATTAGCATGTAATTTATCACAAGTTGTGCAGCCAACTAAAATTAAAAAAAAATTTTTTTTTAATTTCTTTAACAAGAAGTTTACCCAAAAGCGCTTTTCCGTGTAAATAGCTAGTTGTAGTTGGAGTTAATTGCATATCGGCTGTTGTTTTATGTTCAAATGATCTTTTTCCGACTGTTCTTTCAAGTTTCTGTCCGCCAGTATTTGGGTTAATGTAAATATAGCCGTCTTAATTACAAAATATTTTTTAGACAAGATTTACTGACAGTTGATGCAAGGAGCTTTGCTAACACAGCGTTCGCATCCTGTATTTACTAAGCTTCTCTGCACAATGACTGTCTTTGTCTTTTAGTGACCGGAATAATCGTACATATTTGCGGAATCCCGAGCGCGGGAGTAACTTTTAAAAAAATTTGCGGGATGAGATCCCGTGGGAATAATCCCGCAAAATCCCGCACGCCCGCAAAAATCCCGCAAATTATGAAAAGTGCAGCAGTGCGGGAGCGGTATCCCGCAAAATCCCACTCAGGATCCCGTCCCGCACCAGTCACTACCAAGAAGCATGGTTTGTACCCTCCATTACTGAGGGCACTACAATAACCGCACACTTTACTTTCAAAGCAACTCACTGTAAGAATAAAACATATAGTCAAGAATATAACCGCTAGTTTGATTTGCCTTGTAGCAATAATTGTCGTCATAATTGCAGATACAAATATTTTTACTACAGACAACTTTTCCGATACTTTGCTTATTTGCCACGCTATTATAGCAAATCTGAGATTGAAAAGTTTACAAATTTCCAAAAAAATTGCTTTACCGTTTGTAAACTATTGTTTTTGCAAATACTGTTGCTTATAGCTCCATTAAAGCTGTCAGAAACGCCTTGGACACTAGTAAATTTTATCGTGTCTGTCAGAAAAGTTAGACTGCCTTGATTGCTGGAACAATCTTTTCCATCTTAAATTTATCAAAATTTTTATTTAGACTTTGAGAATTTCCCAAACCCTCATTTCCTTGGAAAAATTTATTCTATAGACTTCTTAACTTTTATACAGTTAGACTGTGTAGATCCCAAAAGGACGCAAAGCCATAACTAGCTGTAATCCTTCTGGCCCTTATCAATTTTGGTATCCGTCTTTTAGCTCGATGAGAGGAATCGTTTAATACTAGATTTGGTAATATTCGGAAATTTTAGAGCAAATTATGCTTTTCGCCGTTATGGGCGTGTCCCAGTCGGATCTCCTTATAAGATAACGATTGGGCCTGAAAAGATATTATCTTATAATGAGGTTTTTGGGTTAATGTAAATATAGCCGTCTTAAATAAAAAATATTTTTAGAAAAGATTTACTGATAGTTAAATCAAGGAGCTTTGCTAACATAGCGTTCGTAACTTGTATTTACTAAGCTACAACAAAGAGTTGTATCTCTTATAGAGGTTCAACTGTACATAAAATTTAAATAATTTACCATTAAATCCAACAGCCATTAATAAAACAATTAATAAGTAAAAATACATTTTTTGCTTCTTCAAATTAATTAATGATTTTTTACTCTCCCCTCAATGACTATTTAAATGCCCCTTCAAAGGCAACTAATTAAATAATTTTAAATTTTATTTTAAAAAAACGAGACATAAATTTTATAAAATAAAATCTGATTAAATAAGGGAAGGGAGAAGAAATAAAATTTAATTTTTGCCTTAGACACTGCTTGACGCTTTGGAGTAATTAAAATAAATTTTATTAAAAATTTAATTTCCGCATGAGGTCCGGATGTCATCTGATTTACCACGTCCTTTCAAACAGAGCGTCTAAAAAATTTATATACATATTTTTCTGTATTATATTTTTGTTTAAACATTTTTTATCATCCTCAAAAAATTCCACAAAAATCCGCAAAAAGAGTCCGCAAGGAAAGTCCGCACAGAAAATCTGCAAGAGAATCTTTTTTTGAGGACCGCTATTTGCTAACGCTTTTGAACGAGAAATATAAGGTTATTGATTTCCGAACTGTATCTCTTGGACAATTACTTAAACTCCGCAAAAACTTAAAATTCGCAAAAAATCCGCAAAAAGTGTCCGCAAATTTCTCTCCTCGGAGAAAGATACACGTTGGCAAATAAATTAATACTTAAAATTTAAAAGTTATCCCCAGACACAAACACAAAATTTATAAATTAAATTTTAGAAAGTACATAATTTTTATACACTTTTTAAGAAGAGTCCGCAAAAAGAAGAATAATTCCACAAAGAATATCCGCAAATTCGATTCAACCCGAGGAGCCTTTCGAGTGAAACAGACTTAATAAAAACATAATTTTCGTTTTTAAGTGATTTTGGAAAGTTAAGGGAGAAATATTTTTTTATGAAGAAATTCCGTGTTATGTCGGAAAACTATGAGACTTCCGAATGTTTTTGAATAAACATTTATACATCAGGGGCCGAAGTGACAAGAATTTTAATAATTATTGACAAGGAAGATTTTGACGATTGGAAAAAATTATTGAAAAAGATGATTGAAAGATGATTGAAAAACAGATCTTTTTAAGTGATTTTGAGAAACCATTTTATTGAGGAAATACGGTAAATCCCCTACAAATTCTTCGAAATTATAGGTGTGATATTTTATTTCCATGGATTTCTAGAAAATTTCGGATCCGAATCAGGGGCGAGCGCAAGAGACAATCTAAAAAACGCAAGACGCAAAACGTAACAAAAACCCTACTTTTAGCAGAAGGAAAGCAGAAGCTAGATTTCTTCCAATTTTTGCCCTCAGATTAGAAGAATAACAGGGATTTGAGCATATAGTAGGTATCAGGGGTTGAAGAGATAAAGCAGGATATCCCTACAAACCCCCGATATCTTTTTAAATCAACCGACCGATAGTCTTCTGTCACCTCAGTTCCCCCGATATTTTCCACATAGCCACTTTATCCCTCTTCCAATTTTGAGAATTTTGGAAGGCCAATAAGCCAGGATATCCGAAGATTTCCAAATAACCGCCAACTTTATTCCATAATGCTCTTTTCCCTTAATGAATTTTCAACATAAATTTAATTATTTTATTTCTTATGACAAATTTGACAATTTAAGTGTCACGGAAAAATTTTTTCACTTTTGAAAAATTTAGCAAAGAATATTTTTAAGAAAATAATTTTTTAATAATTTTTTTCTTTCATAATTTACACTCTAAACAAAATTTATTTAAAGAAATCTTTAGAAATAAAAATTTTTTTATTCGATTTTCTACACTTTTATTCGATTTCTTCATTTTCGTTAACAGGAAAATTTTATGAGACAAGCTCCTCCCTCTAACAAATTTGACTTCTTTATGCTACGGTTACATAAAAAACGCAAGACGCCGGCGGAAGACGCTCGGCGTCAAGACGCCGGCGGAAGACGCTGTTTCGTGGTTACATAAAATCGGCGTCTTCCGCTAAGCGGGAAGACGCAAAGCGTCAAAACGCTAGTTTTATGTAACCACAAAACAGCGTCTTCCGCCGGCGTCTTGACGCCGAGCGTCTTCCGCAAAACGCGCGCGATTTTATGTAACCACTAAATCCGATTAAAATTTTTTTTAAATATTTATCATACTAAAATAAAATGTATAAAATCAAATCATTTTATTCTGCCATGGTACCAATCAGGGGTGGCGCTCCTCTCGTATCTCGTGAAATCTCGTGTTTTTTAGGGGTCTCATATCTCGTATTTTGCCACAAGACACGAGATATTTTTTCAATATATTTTAGAAAAAATGTCAAAAATTTGGGACTATTTTAGGATCCTAGAATTAGGAAAAAAGGAAGAAATCTTGCCCAGTGGTCTTCCAAAATTCTCAAATTTTCGCCTGCGGCGCTGAAATTGGAAAGAGGTATAAAGTTGGTCCAATAAACTCTTCTCTATCTAAAGGTATAAAAATTGGAGGGATTAAGTGGTTATCGGAGAATTAATGGGATATCGAGGTTTTGGAGTGATTAAAGGGGATTTGGAGGGATTAAAATATGGATTGATTTAATACATCAATGTCTTTATAAAAATATTTATTATAGCCAAAATCAATCATTTATTTCAAAAATCCCCAAACCTCTCTAAAAATCTTTTAAAATCTTTTAAAAAATCTTTCTCCATTTGAAAATATTCAAAAAAAGAAAATGAGAGGCAAAGCAAAAATGCGTCTTTTGCCTTTGAATCTTGTTTGTCTTGCTTTGCTTCTGGCTTCATTTTTTGATAAAAATGTTGCTTATAATGAACCTAGGTTGATGGATACAATACAACAAAATCTCATTTATGCATTGTTTCCAGGCGATGAATACCCACAGACTCGATACAAATTCGATGCAGGTGTGATATTAATCTATTTTTTGTTTTTAAGCAAAAATTTGTGATTAGAGGTTTCGATACAAAAAAGAAGGTATTTGTTGAGGGAATTCTCATTTAAAACGCTTAGATTCCCTTAGGCTTAGATTGAGGTACTAGGATTTATCTACCAGATTAAATACAGAATTCTCACTTAATAAAAGAACTCAGGAGGAGGTAATAGACTTCGGATTATATGGGAGAAACTCCAAAACTTTGAGCTCATAAAATTTTAAAATACTTATAGACAAAGGTTTTGAGGACTGGCGACTGAACCATTTAAATAACATCTCTGAGATAGACAAGACTGGAATGCCTCGAGGAAGTACTCAATCGAATGATGTGCTTATGCATGATGAATGGATTTACCTTCGAAATAGAGGAAATTCTGAAGTGTTTGATAATTTTGTGATAAGTCTTTTAAATAAAGTTGCAATATTTACTTCAAATAATGTCAACTTCAACTCCTGTAATGCTAATAATGTTGAAAATGATTTGAAAGAATACGATCAAATCCAAGAGAAAACAAGAGAAGCATTAAGAGAAAATCCTGGAGAAAGAGAAACAATACTTTCGAAAAGAAAAGGATTGATTTCGAATCTTTGTCGGTGTTTTACCCGTTCAAGGGCTTCTCGTCATTCTCATCCCGAAACTTCCACGCCAGCCAGAAAAAACCGTTGTGAAGTACTAATCGAATTAATTATTCGCTGTAAAGTGTTTATTAGAGATTTGCATTCGGAAGGGGCAGAAGGCTCTTTGATTGATATATTCTCTTTTATGAATAAGCATCCACGTCTTCAATCGCTCATAAAAATTTTAAATGTCTACAGTTCAAAGTCAAGGGTTAGATAAAGCTATAAATGAGAGAATTTACCAGGATCATTTGGAGAATAAAATGAGAAAAGAATATAAAAATGCAATTGTGCAAGGGGCTGGTCCTGTTGGTTTATACGCTGCCTACAAACTTTTTATTGGTAAGGCACATTTTAACTAGGACAAATTTTAGTTTAATGCCACTACTTTTCGACTTATTAAAAATTTAAAATTTTTAGGAGGAGTGAATGTAACACTTGTAAATGATCGTTCCGAAGATTATATAAGAAATCGGGTTGTCTTTTTTGACCGAAAATGGATGTCACAATTACGCTTCTTTTTGGGTACTGAATTTGATAAATTATTTTTTGACAAACAAAATGGAGAGAAATCATTGGGAAGTCTACTTGATGAAGATATTGGGTTTGCTAACATAAAAAATATGGAAAATGCTTTGATGAAGCGGTTAAAAAATTTAGCAAGTTATATAAATGGACGAGAAATCCAACAAGAAATATTTATGAATTTGGTTTATAATACAGCAGTTTTGAACATTCAAACACAACATCAAAAGTCTTTGGCCATCCTCGGTGCTCCAGTAAAGCGTCCTGAAATCTTTGACTCTGATAATTTGGAAAAAATATTTAAAAATTTAGAAAGAAAGACAGATGGAGCCATAGGAATTCCTTTTGATTTATTTTTCTGTGCTGGTGGTGCAAGAGACCAGATACGGACGCGCTTCATAGGTTAGAATGGATATAAGTGTAATTATCATTTAGTAGTTTTAAACTCAGTCAAAACTCATTTGTAAACTAAAGTTAGCATCATGATCTCTGCTCTCGATAGTCGATACACTCTATTTATGCAGGTACCCCAAACTTAAGTTTATTTTTTAATGTAACTAGTTACATATATTACTCTAGTTAGAAGAGATACAATCCAGATTCGACTAGATTAATTATACCATATTTTCAGAGCAACCAGAACAATTGACGGAATCAAAAAATTACGGTGTTGTTATCTTCGATAAAGAGAATCCTAATATTAAAGTCTTCGAAGATTCTGCTGCTTTCTACCGTGATCCTATGAATAATATGAGGGAACATCTGGAGAAACAAAATATTGATGGATTGATTTGGCAATCTGGTCTTTCTAAGAAGCTTAAATCAACGTATGCCAACTTAACCGAGATGATTTTACAAGATAAGCAAATCGTTGTTCGTCTTTTTGAGTCAAATCCAACATTGCATATTGCATCTATAACACCTCAGGCTCTTGTAGATTTTATTGAAGATTTACAAAATGAAAAAGGAAACAGAAAAAAGTACGAAAAAAATTATGACGAATTTCACAATGAATTGCAAAAAAGATGGGCCAAAGCTCTTTTTGATTATACATTTTCTACTAGACATCCTGAGAAAGTAGGGCAAGTAGTTATCGAAGGTGATGAACATGTTGGAAGTTCAAGTACAAGTTATAGAGGCAAAGAAATAGCTACTGAACCAAATCAAATTCTTAAATTTGACTCTCACAGTGCTAATACAAGCACTTTTTATGTGGCAATTTATGGAATTGAAACCCCTGTGGCAAAAATTGGTGGAAGTTCATCAATTATTGCAGCTATAGGGGATGCAAATACAAGCGCTCATTTTATGACTGCTAGCGGGATTAGTACAGGCAAGTTTCAAAGAAAAATAAGAATTACTCTTAAACAATATTGAGTCTTTTGACCATAAATTTTTAATTTTCCCCGGAATAATGATAAAATTCACAAAATTACCATTACTATACGTTCCGAAAAACTTGTAGACTAACATTCTTCGAGTCGAATTATTTTCATTACCAAAACTCAACAGAAAGTTGTTCTTCGTTAAAAAGACAATTTTAAATTTATTTTTAATTTAAGGACGATTGGGAGTTGAGAATGCTGTTAATGCGATTAAAGAGTATGATCAAATAAATGGAGCGTCAGATTTAAAGGCAATGTTAGATGCCGCTTTGAAAAAAGTTAGAAGGCGAGTACTCGAGAAAGCTCAAGAATATGTCAAGATAGAGGAAGGAGTAAGAATGGACCTTGAAAATTGAAGAAGAAAGTGAGCTTTGATTTGAGAAAAAGTATGTAGTGATTTGAAGTCGTGAACTTTTTAGTTTCATTGGGGGTTGATTAGCCTTTTGAGTTTAGACCCGTATTTTAGTATGTACCCTGTATACTATGTATACCTATTTTAGTTTTTTTATTATCCAAAAATCCACCACAAGGACTCAACATTGTTGACCGTTGAGATCCACATTATTTATCTTTTTTGAATTGTATTCTTTTTGGAGCTGGATAAATTGAAACTATTTTATTTTTAAATTTTATCTTATCAAATATCTAACAAAGAATTATATTTAACTGTTATCAAAAATTCCGTAATTATTTTTATACCATCGTGTAGGTATAAAAATCCATCGTGTATAGAGTAAATTTAGTCAAAAAATAGAATAGCCTCTCCAATTGAATGGCCGTTTTTTGGGGGTATCGAAAAATAGAATGGCGGCCATTAATTAAGTGTGTTTCTATATCTTATCTCGGATTCTAACATTGTTTATTTGATTAAGCGAATGCAGCAATTTTTAATTAATTAATAATTAATAGGCATCAAAAATCTATAACAATTTTTGATGCCTATTTGAGGGCCCGATAAAGCCAATCAATTTTTTATTGTTGACAAAATTTCTTCGATTTTTTAAATTTTTTTAAATAATTTTAACGATTTTTAATCATTAATTTCCCCATCATCTGCTACCTCTTTATTTACAAAGGCAGCAAGGGCATGACACTAGATTTACACGTTGTGATTATGTAATGTTAATGTAAAATATCTTGTCTGCTTTTTTGACATTTTACAAAACACCCAATCAGATATGTTCAAAACATTGATGTGGAAATTGTTATAGGATGGGGAGCCGGTAATCCCCTTTTAATTTTTTAGCATAAATTTAATTTTAAATTTTTTATTTGCTTTTTAAAACTTTAATTCTAACATGAAATCAAAGAAAAAAAATTTTTTCTACTTTAAAGAAAAGAAAATTTTTTCAAAAATACACACTTTATTTTAAATATTTTTTTATAAATTTTAAAAATTAAAAAAAAAAATTTTTAATTGATTTTTCACATTTTTAACAATTTCTTAATTTTTAAAAATTATTTTCATCATTAAAATATTTTTAGAATCAAGCTCCTCCCACTTTAAACAAATCTGACTCCTTTACAACAGGGATGGGCGAAATCAAAAAATAAAAAGCGAAATGCGAAATGCGAAACTTTTTTTAAAAAAATAAAATGCGAAATGCGAAAATGCGAAATTATTTAAAATTCAAAAAATTTTATTCATATTCAAAATTATAAATTACGAGATTATGATGCAAAAATAAAAGCATTTCTGCATTTTCTTGAATAAGACGTTTCCTCAGATTGTTTATTATTAATCCTGCACTACTAAACAACCTTTCTGCTTCAGCTGATGTACAAGGTGCTGATAGAAAGCGCGTTGCAATTTTGGATAAAATTGACCATTTAACTGTATTGTCACCAGTCCAAAATCCATAAGGATGCTGATTCCGCAAATGTTGCTGCTGATTCCGCAAATGCTCTAAATATTTAATTTGGAATAAAATTATTAAAAGCTTAAACCTTTTTAATGTCTGTTGCTGTGGCATTTTTGCTTTTCTTTTCGCTAAAAAATCATCATACAATTCTGGATGACTGCCACGTAAATGTGAGATTAAAAATGTTGTTGGCGCACGTGGCGGGTAGTTTTTTGAAAAACTACAACTTTTGCAGAACGCTACTCTTCCAGAAAGTGAGAAATACTTCCATATTAAAGACATTATAATTTTAAAAAATTTCTTAAAAATAAAAAAAATACTTTATGAAAAAGCGAAACAAATTTCGCATTTGGACCAAAAAGCGAAATGCGGAATGCGAAACTTTTCGCGCCAAAAAATGCGAAAAATGCGAAAGATGCGAAATGCGAAAATGCGAAATCGCCCATCACTCCTTTACAAGCTCCTCCTTATTAATGCAACGCCCTTAGCCTCTACATCAATGTCTTTATAAACAAATTTATTATAGCCAAAATCTATCACTAATTTAAAAAAAATCCCTAACCCTCTAAAAATTCTAAAAAATCTTTTAAAGAATCCTTCTCCATTCGAAGGAATTTAAAAAAGGGATGAGAGGCAAAGCAAAAGTGCTTCTTTTGCCTTTCAATTTTGTTTGTCTTGCTTTGATTCTGGCTTCATTTTTTGATAAAAATGTTGCTTATAATGAGGATAAATTGATGGCAACAATACAACAGAATCTTATCTACTCGTTGTTTCCAGGCGATAAATTCCCTCAGACTCGATACACATTCAATGCAGGTGAAATAATTATTTTTAAACTGGAATTTGTCACTAGAGGTTTCAATACAAGAAAATATTTTTGAGGGGATATCCGTTAAACTGATTAGATTTTCTAAGGCTTAGCTTCCTTGTAGACTTTATTTTTGTGATATCTGGATTTATTTATAGAACACTGAGAATTCTCACTTAATAACAAAACTGAGAAGGGTAATAGACTTCGGATTATATAAGAAAAACTTAAAAAATTTAAGCCTATAAGATTCTAAAATATTTTATAGACTACGGCTTCGAAGACTGGCGCTTCAATCAGTTAGTTAACATTGCCGAGATGGATAACACTGGAATGCCTCGAGGAAGTACTCAATCGAATGATGTGCTCATGTATGATGAATGGAACTACCTTCAGAATACAGGAAATTCTGGAGTGTTTAATGGAGTATTCGATATTGCTGTGGCAAATCTTTCACATAAAGTTGCATTATTTACATCAAATAATGACAACATCAACTCCTGTGATGCTAATGATGTTGAAAATGATTTGAAAGAATATGATAGAATCCAAAATAAAACCAAAAAATCATTAGGTGATGGACGTGAAGAAAGAAAAATAATACTCTCGAGAAGAAAGAAATGGCTTTCGAAAATTTGTCAATGTTTTGACCCTTCAACATCACCTCATCACACTTCTCATCACGAGCCTTCAACATCTCATCATGAAATTTCCCCTCCAAACACAAAAAACCATTGTGAAGCACTAATCCAATTAATTATTCGTTGTAAAGTGTTTATTAGAGATTTACATTCTGAAGGGGCAGAAGGCTCTTTGATTGATATATTCTCTTTTATGAATAATCATGAAGAGCTTGGAAATCTTATACAAATTTTAAATTTATCTAAAATTCAAAGTCGAGCGTTAGATAAAGCTATAAATGAGAGAATTTACCAAGAGCATTTAAAAAATAAAATGAGAAAAGGATATAAAAATGCAATTGTGCAAGGGGCTGGTTCTGTTGGTTTATACGCTGCCTATAAACTTTTTATTGGTAAGACAATTCTTAAGTTTTGCTCAGGAAAAAACTTGGGCTAGTAAACGTCGAATTGAAAATTATATACAAAATCAACGACCGTGGGTTCTATATATGGTCGCTGGGTTTACAGGATCGCATAACAATAAAAGCCATTTTGGACGGGGTTTAGTCTAATTCCACAAAAGATTAACCGCCAATTTTTAATCTATTAAAGAACTATTTTTAGGAGGAGTGAATGTAACTCTAGTAAATGATCGTTCTGAAGAATACATACGAAATCGTGTTGTCTTTTTTGACCGAAAATGGATGTCACAATTACGTTTCTTTTTGGGTACCGAATTTGATAAATTATTCATTGACAAACAGAATGGAGAAAAATCATTGGGAAGAATTCTTGATGGAGATATTGGGTTTGTTAGCATAAAAAATATGGAAACTGCTTTGAAGGAAAGATTAAAAAAGCTATCGGAGTATATAATTAAAAAAGAAGGAAAACAAGGAAATTTATTCTTAAATTTGCTGTATGAAACAGCAGTTTTGGACATAAACACACAACATGGAAAGTCTTTTGCTGTTCTAGGCACTCCAGCCAAACAATTCAATCCCTCTGCCCAAACCTTTTTGCAGTATGTAGCAAATGAAAACTTTAATGGAGATTACCAACAAGCACATGATCACATATTCCAGAACTATTTGGAAGAAATTAAACAACATTTTGGGCATGAAAGTCCTTACTTTGCTTATACTCGTTATAAAGGAGATAATGCTGTGGAGTATATAAACGCTGAAACCCTTGCTCAACTTCAAGTTGAAGGAAAAGCTTTTGGAATTAGAAATTTGGGAGAAGAATTGAGGGAAATTGGAGGGATACCAATTGAGACATCTTTTGGAAGGAATGATGTAGGAATTCCTTTTGATTTGTTTTTCTGTGCTGGTGGTGCAAATGATCAAATCCGGAATAAATTTTTGGGTAAATAAAACATTCCGTGTCTCTATTAGCCTTAGGGGCCGTTGACCTTGACTCTATTAGTCCAATCACTTTATCTTGTTAAAAAGCTGTATTATTTCCATCTTTTCAGAGCCAGCAAAACAATTGACAGAATCAAAAAATTATGGTGTTGTTATCTTCAATAAAGAGAAACCTAATATTAAAGTCTTCGAAGATTCTGCTGCCTTCTACCGTGATCCTATGGCTGGTATGAGGAAGCATCTTGTGAAACAAGATTTTAATGGATTGATTCGGCAAGCTGATTTTCTTTCTGATCGGCTTAAATCAAAGTATAAGAATTTAACCAAAATGATATTACAAGATGAACAAATTGTTGTTCGTCTCTTTGAGTCAAATCCAACATTGCATATTGCATCTATAACACCTAGAGCACTTGTAGAATTTATTAGGGAATTTAATAGAGAGAGAGGAAACCGTGCGAATGAATTACGTGATGCTGAGAATAAATTATATTCAGAACTTACTTTTATGGGAAATCTGGAGCATTGGTATAAATTAACGGAAGTGAAAGATAAACATGAAGAAGTGTTGAAACATTATGACGATTTTCATGATGAATTACAAAAGAAATGGGCCAGAGCTCTTTTTAGTTATACATTTTCTACTAGACATCCGGAGAGATTTGAACGAGAGGAAGTAGTCATTGAAGGGGAGGCAAGCACTAGCACTGGAATAACTGAAGAACCAAATCAAATTCTTAAATTTGACCCTCACAGTGCCAATACGAGCACTTTTTGGGTTGCAATTTATGGAATTGGAAATCCTGTGGCAAAAATTGATGGAAGTTCAGCAATTATTGCAGCTATAGGGGATGCAAATACAAGCGCTCATTTTATGACTGCTAGCGGGATTAGTACAGGCAAGTTTTGTTAAAATTGTTAACTCCCCTCCGGCACAGGGGAGCTACCATTATTTATCGATACATATGCATCTAATGGAAGGATCAAACTGGCTAGTATTTAAAATGCTTTAGATTGAAGGATTAATATATACTTAAAATATAAATCAATTTAGTAGAACGGTTCTTTAAGCATAGCACCTAAACATTGATTCCTAACTAAGGTTGGCATTTTTTTCGATTCGGTTCGTTTTCGAGCTTTGTGAGCTGAAAAGCCTCGGCTCGCTCGATCTTTCGAGTTTCGAGTCGAGCGAGCTAGCAACCCTATTCCTAACAGTAATTGACACAAAGTTACAGGTCGATTCCTCCCTGCATTATTTAAACAAAATATATTTAAATTAATATTTAAGGTCGGCTTGGAGTCGAAAACGCTGTTAATGCGATTAAACAATACAATCAAAACCCACACCAATCTAATTTACGCAAAATGATGAAATCTGGGCTGAAAAAAGTTCGAAGACGTGTGCTCGAGAAAGCAAAGGAATATGTAACTATACTTGACGGCATAAAAGTAGATCTTGACGATCAGTAAAGTGAAGAAGAGGAGTTGGAGATTTTTACATATTTTTGGGTAGTTAAAATGACATTTTTGGATTTTTTTCGGTTTTTGACAGTGTTGGGTCGGAATTCCGATTCCGACAGTTCCGGTTTCCGACACCCTCGTTATTTTCGACCCACCTCTGGTGTTTGGGTAATTTTGAATTTTATGCACCCTTTCAGGGATAGGTAATTTCGTTCTGTATATTAGTTGTCTCAGAGAGTATTTTAAATTTTAACTGAAGGTTTTTCTCAAGTTTGAGGTAGGAAAAATTGTAAAATATTCTGACTAGGGTTTGTGACGTATTTTTAGCTTTAAAAAATTTTTTTTAATAATTAGCTAAGATGAAGAAAATTGAGAGAATCGACGAAGGTGTTTCCATAAAATTCAAAATTAGTATTTTTATTTTAAAACAAAGTATTCTGAATCAGAACACAATGCTGTTTCAAAAAATTTTTACTTTTGATTTCGGATTTTAGAAAAGATTTTTAAATCAAGAAAATTTTAAAGTTATCCTTCTTTTTAAAACAGTTAGAGTTTAGTAACTCGCATTTTAGTAGATATGTCGCCGAAGCGACGTCTGCGATGAAATTAATAAATTTAAATATTCTTGATTAATTATTTGGTGACCTTTTGCACCGTCTATTTTTTTAATCGTTTGTCTTTTGCCCGATAACTTTAATGTTAGCCACACCCTTTTGTGCTAACCCCATTTCTGATCGCTTCTCCATTAGCTTAATCATTTTATTTATTTATAAGTTTTAAGCTATTTTTAGCTTTTGTGTCTCTGTATTTTCTCCTTCATTTAATCATTTTTTCCCCACCTGCATTTATTTATTTTTTACTTAGGTTTTGGCCTTTAAATTATTTTCATCTTTACATTCAATTTACTTTCTGGCCAAACTTAAGTCTATTATTTTTCACCTAATTCCTAAATATTTCTAATTAGGTTTCTTCAATTTATTCTAAATTTTAACTCTTTAGGCCTCGCATCATTTAATTCTAACTTATCTAAAACTGAGGCCTAAAGACCACCTTTTTTACCAAGTTTAAGGCCATTTTCAATTAATCACTTTTTAATCATTCTATGGCCTATAATCATTTTACTCTTTTTCACCCATTTTCGTTTGTTCGGTTTAATTACCCAAGTTTAAGGTTCTCGTAAATAAATATTTTAATTTGTGTATTCTTTCTTTGCTTATTTGGTATTCCGACAATTGCCGCCCTTAGGCATTATTATTAGCTCGCCAATAGAGCTTTGGTTCCGTCCACTCGCCCTAGAGAGTTGGACCACATTTTTGGAGAATTAAGGGACTTCCCGGGACAATCTAATTCAATTCCCGACAGTGCGGTTTCACACCTTGTCGCGCCGCACACCGAATTTTCTTCAGCGACAAACTTTATGGTGCCACGACCCGGGACCCTCTTCTCTTCATTCTTTTTATCAATTAAATTTAAATAATTTTTTCTTCTGTTTAATCTCCCTACAGGCAAATCTACACAACACTTCTCAACCACCCAAATCTACATCTTCACACAACACTTCAATCGACTCTTCAAACTCCTCAGCCACCTCATCACTTCCATATCAATTCTACATTCAACACTACTCTTCTATCAATCGTCACTTCATTCCTACAAATCAACTCTATTTCTACCAAAATGTCATCAGGACCAATCCGTCAAATGATCGGCCCAATTATCAAGCTCCTCAAGAATTACATCAATGAAGCACAAAATATCATCACGTCGCCACAGGATCTACTAGAAGAGAACCAGCTACAACGTCTCCGCACACTCCGCAAACAGTTGAGCTGCAATACCGTAAGAATTGAAGGTTTAAATCGGGAGTGGTTAGAATTTATGGGAAAAATCGACCCGGAAAACCTAGTAAGGGAAGAAAGGATTTATGATAACTTCCAACGCCCGGCGGATAATGACCCCCTTTATCGTCATTTCACCGAATGGGTTGCCGATGCCCAGGCAATGGTCTTCACTATCGACGACATAGTCGAGCGGGATAGCACATCGGGAAATCTACAGTCAAGGGCAAGGTCCCGTAGTGCTTCTCTCCATTCCGGACAATCACAGAATTCCCAGCGGCCACTCGCTCAGGATTTACCGCGCAATCCGGCTTACGACTCGTTCAAAATCGCACCCATGGAAATTCCGAAGTTTTTTGGGGACCCTGAAAAATGGACAAGCTTCTGGCAATGCTTTGAGTTGGCCATCCACAATAACCCGAATATTCCGGACGCGCTGAAAATCCATCATTTGTGTAATTCGCTCAAGGGATCAGCCGAGGCAACCGTCCAAGGATTCCCGAGAATAGCAGAGAATTACCCAATTATAGTAGAATGTTTGAAAGGGAGATACGGTAGCACCCGCAACCTAAGGGAAACCCTCCAATCAGAGCTCCTTCAATTGCCAGCTACAAAAGACACCGCCGACTCACTTCGCGCCTTTTGTGACAATATAGAAAGAATTTGCAGGCAATTGGAATCCAATTTTAGAACAAAGGAAGACGCGTCTCTCTTAGTCACCACTATTAAGGCCAAACTTCCATCCACCCTTATTGAAAAAATCATAGAAAGGGAGCGAAGTACAGCTGTAGGCGAATGGACACATAAAGAACTTAGGAATTTCCTCCTTGAACAAGTGGCCATAAAAGAAGAGGTGGAAAGGAGTACAAAAAGGCTAAAAGGACAGTCAATTAGAATGGATGAGCGCCAGTCGACTCCCCAACAAAAGAGTCACCGACCGACACATTCCAAACCAGCTAACTTTACCCGCGCCTTTGCAGCTATTGAAAGGAATTCTGGCCAATGTTCACTTTGCAATGGCGGTCACCTTCCTTCTGTTTGCCGCAAATTCCAAACACCCGATAGCCGCAAAAATCGCTTAATAGCTCAACGCAGGTGTTTAAATTGCCTACGCGAGGGACACCAAATAAGCCAGTGCGAGTCACCGAAAAGATGTAGAAATTGTGGCGACAAGCACCATTTCATCATCTGCACCCGCCAAAGGGGGAGAGAAAATAATGGAATGACTCTTCAGTCTACCAGCCAGCAGCCGCATTCTTTTCAAAGAAATTCAAACTTTTCAATTCGTTCTACGCAACAGCCAGCGCAAATTTATACTAATTCGCGAATGACTTCCGAAAATCTACCCGGGACAAATCCGAATGTTCCCGCAAACCCGGAAATGGCTATGACTGCTACCGAGTCGAAACCGCATACTTTTTTGATGACTTGCGAATTAGCAATCAGCTCGGGAAATAACCGTCCAATTTATACTACTGTTGGTCTCTGGGACACCGGATCTCAGACTTCCTACATTTCTCAATCTCTGGTCGACCGTTTAAGACCACCTAAGGTTTCTACCTCCAACCACTCCGTACGCGTTTTTGGCGCCGAGACAGTCAAATTTCGCTCTACCGGATATAAGATTAGGCTCCATAAGCCCAACGGGAGATGGGATGAAGCTGTATTCTGCTCAATTCCGCAAATCGTCCCTGCATTTCCTTGTATTCAATGGGATGGAACTCGGATCCCAACGAATCACCGAGACTTACAAAACACTCCCGTCAACAATAGGGAACCGGAAATTCTACTAGGAGTTAGAGAGTTTTGGAGATTTTTCCTCGGATCCAGGAAAATAGGAAAAAATCTGCACATTATAAGGACTCACTTCGGCTCAATGCTCTGCGGTGAATTACCCTACTATGTTTCACCTACCTCTTTAACCTGCATTTCTCTTGCCGCCGTGCACAGCTCACCGGAAGAAATGCCCGCCAATAATGAAATAGAACAATTTTGGAACCTTGAGTCTATGGGCATTACAGACAACCCCGAGAATAAGGACGACGAAATCGCCACTAGATTAGTCGAACAGTCCATAACACAGGACCCTGACGGGAGATATACGGTCGGACTTCCTTGGAAATCATCAGAAGGAACTTCGGGACCCCCGTCGGAATTACCCTCCAACTTTGATATGGCTTATAAACGCCTATCTTCCGTACTCAAGCGAATAGAATGGGCGCCCAACATAGCCCAGGAATACCAGAAAGCAATAGAGGACCAACTTAAACGCGGAGTAATTGAATTCACTCGATGCAACCCAGACATGCAGGAACACTTCCTTCCACACCATGCAGTCTTTAATAAAGGGAAAATCCGTCTAGTATACGATGCAAGCGCTCATCCAAAAGGACATCCCTCACTCAATCAATCACTCTTTCGAGGACCAGTTTTACTCCCGAATCTAATTAACCTACTACTACGTTTTCGGGCAACTAAAATCCCAGTTTTGGCCGACATCGAAAAGGCCTTTCACCAAATCTCATTAATTGAATCGGATCGAGAATTCTGTAAATTCCTATGGTTAAAAAACTTGGACCAACCTCTTTCGCCGTCCAACTTAGCCGTGTACCGA